GCCTCGGTCATAGAAGATCTACCTATTTTGACTTTGTCGGTTCCACATTTGTGCGCATTTGTGAGTACACCTATAGTAGTACATCTATTTATAATTTTTTGGCGATACTGCATTAATATTTTAAATGTCTGACAAACAGTTAGGAAAGGATGTATGGATGACAAGAAAAGAATTGAAGAGTTTTGAAGCATTTCTGTTGAAATGGGTCTTAAAGGCGTCGGTCGCTAATGCTCTTTATAATGATTCGGATAATTAACATCATCGTACAAATACTTGCCGTTTATTGGGAAAGCAATCGAAATAACTATTTGCGTGCGCAAATCTGTTTATCAATTTTGTTTTGGACACGTGGCACGTCGCAACTGTGCTGCCAGAGTCGCACATCGCTCTTGACTCATCCAAACAGGCAACAAAGGGAATTTGATTTGATTTTCGCATTAATATGAAATACGTGACTAATTTGCTTCTGGGGCATAAAGTGGGTTGCTTGGCTTCAAGTTTGAGTTGGGCTGCTGAGCAGACCGGATGTGCGGCCGTTGCCAATAAATCAAAGTTTAAACGTTTTATCGTTCCAACGAGCATCTTATTGAAGGAAGTATTACGGAACTGCTGTATTCCCAATGATTATGGGGTCTTAGAAACGTTTTCCTTCAAAACGCCAAATGTTTCGTGTTCTGTGTTGATGAAAGAGTACAATTTTTATCATTTCCATTAAGGTTTAAATGAACATTAAAAAAGGGGAGCCTTACATTGTCATAATGCCTATTAAATATTACTAGTAAGAGCCGTCGGTTTATTCCGCGAGCATATTGAGTACAATTGTACGTTTTATCTAAATGTTTGACTGATAATCGATTTATTAATTACGTTTTCAAATTTTGCGCTCTAAGAAGAGTTTAGAGCGGTTATCAAATCGAATGGCCTTTTGCGGCAACTCTGGGGCTCATTAATCTTCTATAATTGCCGAAAATTGATGTCATGCATATTTGAAAACCCATTAAAAAGACACAATAAACTTCGAAAAAAGTAATGTATGCGCACACAGACGGGGAAACCCGGGACACACAGCATAGTGCCATTCATTAGGAGCGACAACTAGAAATAGTTCTGGAGACAAATTTATGAACGTTTAGCGCAAAAGTCAAGCACTCGAAGATAATGTTAATGCTGCTGAGCAGAGCAACAAATTGCAGCTATCATTGAACATGTTTCGAATCTTTCCAAACAGGCAGTCAAACAGGCAGGCAGGCAGCCGAAGACGACGATGAAGATGACATCGGACAGGCAGAAAAAAAGGAGAGCAAGAAAGAATAAAATGAAACAAAAAATTAGGGAACTACGGTGCGGCAGTCGTATTTGTCGAATGTGTGATCTTTGGCGCTACATTTTCCCTTTTCGTTGTGTTTTTGCTCCTGTGTGGCTTCACAGTCTGGGGCTGCGGACCAGCGTTCCTGTGTTTGTAACTCAATTCGAAAATAATTAACGATCCCGAGATTACAAATGTCAAACATAATGTCAAGTCGTGCTGCATTCATATCACATTGCTGTCACTAAGAAATGCTCTACCCCGACAAACAGACTATACACACGTAATGTTCAAAGACGGAAAAATTTCAGATACGAAAACCACCGAGTGCGCCACTCTACACACAAAACCACAATGCGTGTGGGTCTTCGGCGAGCGCCAGCCGATTTGTTGTGACTTCTGTCAAAGCAATTGCGCCGGCATACTTACATTTTTCGTACCCTCGGTCAGACGATTTCCTGTAAAAGAAAGCTTATGGGTGGCTTTCAAAGATATGTGGCAAGATGGTACCGAGAACTGCTCTCAACTAGTTTACAGGAATCAGCATATCAGAACTTAAGGATCTTGAATCTCATCCTTCTCAATGTAGCCAAATTATGAACAAACTATAGTACGTAGGGCGACAAAAAATAATCACAATGATTGGCAGAACATTTAGTTGAGTTAGTTGATTCACAATTCAGTTAATGCGAAAATAATTGATTTTGTTCGTTTCTATGTTACGACTCGTATATCATATCCCATACACCATCTTAGTCTAAGCCTTAGTCTAATACTTGTGTTTGCGCTTACAAGCTAGCCTAAGTTGGGAGCTCCCTTAAAATGTTGTTGCATATCCAATTAACAAGGAAATTCGGTCCTCCGGCCTTGGCAGTAACACTAGCACTTGCTCTTTCTTCGTATTTAATCATCCAGCCTATCGGGCACCCGGCGCGGCAGGAGCAGCACCCGGAGCAGCTGGAGCAGCACCCGGCGCGGCAGGAGCAGCACCCGCAGCAGCTGGAGCAGCACCCGGCGCGGCAGGTGCAGCACCCGGAGCAGCTGGAGCAGCAGCTGGACCTGCAGCCGGAGCAGCACCTGGAGCAGCAGGTGGAGCAGCAGGTGGAGCAGCAGCCGGTGGTGCTGGTGGAGCGGCTGCAGTTGTTGCTGCGGGAGCAGTTGCTGTGGTTGGCACAGTAGTCGCTTCGTTGCCAGCAGTTATGTTGCCTTTTTGCTCAACCAACACGGTGCAGTTGCGACAAAGTACTGAAAAAAAGTGGTCGGCTTAGGAAGATGACACAGGGAGTTGTTTCTTAGCATGACCTACAATATTCTTCCGTTTCACTGGAGTCGTCCAGGTACTCCCAAAACAAGCTCGACAGCCAGTCATAGGTGTCGCGTTTCTGAAAATGAAACAATGATTTAAAAAGGAGGACTACCTATGTTGAGAGCATTACCATTCTCTGTTCACCATTTGAGCGAGGCAGCGTCTGCGTCAGGCTCATTTGGCTGAGCATGAGGCAGAATCCGAGAGCGATAAAAAATTTGCTTCTAATAGACATCTTAGGTGTTATGAAGTCAAATATTCCGAGTGCACTGGTGAGTGTTATGAGGCCGAAGCCGCCTTTTATAGAACCTGCACGGCCTAGTGTGGAGTGACTTTGAAAGTTTTAGATACATTTTTATTTACTAAATGCTTTTATGATGCTCTAAAAAACTATACTGGAAATGCGCAATGCTTTTTGCACGACCCCATTTGCGCTATCGTGGTAGTCTAAGGCTGCAGGTAGAGGTGTGGTGGTAGCGCCCGACGATATTGTCAATGAAATTCAACTTTGTATGGAGCCTAGCTCGTAGTCGTATTTATGCAGCTGCACGTACAACTGGCCCATTTGTCTGGTAAATAGGCAAGTGTGCTGTGAGTTGGAAGTGATCGAACCGCCATACAATTGACAAGTGCGCAGATCCATAAACTACATGAAATTCGAAGCTCTCCGTATCGCTCCCGCTCCCACTCCCCGGCTACAACCGAATCACTGCTTGGAGCTGTCTAACTGGGGGCAACAAGTGTTTGGAGGGTTTTCAATTCGAATTGTGTTGGGCACAGCTGTAATCCAATACCCCCAATTGCACTTGAGTATAATAACCCATGGGCGATGACGTTGCCAATTGTTCGTCTCGATAATCCCACTTGGCTTCACTCATGCAAATTTTCCACTGCCCAGTGCCAGCAATTGTACATTACATTTATGAATGAAAAAACAATTGAGGTCGTTACACTTGTTTTCGTTGTCCCAGCCTGAGGCTGGCTTCTCTGGGCTGTTCCTTCCTGCTTGCCATATGCTCCATGGATGGGCACTTGGTACTGCCATTTGGCATTTGGCGCGTGTAACTCGGCAGCTCTATTGTGATTTTTATGGCGCTGGCCGGGCACTTTTCTGAGCTGTACGTGTTCTGTTGTTACTCGAAGTAGCTGCAGTTGTTATTGCTGTCGGTGGTGCTGTTTGTGTTTTGTTGTGAAATTTGAAGTAGCCTCCGCATTTCCACAAACACAAAAAGCCATGGACTGGGCACAGATGTGGCAGTTTCTTTAAATTGCTCTGAGGGATGCCGATATTAATAGGGGGCTCAGGTAGTTGTGTATGTGTATAGGAACAGAAAACTGGCGCTTTAAGAGCGCTTCATTTAAAATAGTGAATAAGTTTTATTTCTCTCATACTACTTAAGAGCTAAATCGTCGCGTCAAACATTACCTTATCCGTAAATTTACTTGAACTAAACAGGCGTATGTAATCTTCAATAATTCCCGACCTTATTATTGGGATAGTTCTTTGGCAAATGTAGGGTTGGCTGGCATTGATTTAGTTTTGTAACTTAGCGGATTTTGAAGTTAAAGTTAGAAATAGGAAAGTTCTTATGAATTGCATTCAAATGAAAATGCAAGGACGTTTTATATATTCCGACATCATTATACCAACGTATGTATTTAACCAAAACCCTCTCTTACTCATCCACCCTATCGAGCTGATTCTGCATATTTAAAGAGTGTTAACCGCATGTGTCCTAAGTCTTCATAGAAGCTCGTTAATTATTTGAAGCTAAACTATGGTTTTTACAATACTCGTTAAAGTTTTTATTTTTGTATTCCTCTCGGAATAAAACTAAAACTAAACAAAACGACAGAGCTGCAATTGTCAAAGGCGCAAAAAGGCTAGTACTAGTACCCACGCACTGATCAAGTGCATCTTTCTAGCTGTTGACGAGCACAGTTCTTGGACACTTGGCATTGGAAGCATAGCTAATGTCAGCATCGGCAACAAAATCCAATTTCCGCACGTTCAACGCATTTGCATTTTCTTTTTCTATGCCGCAATCTTTACAAACTCTTTGTACGCACTCTCCCCATACACACCCACATCCGCAGTTCTCGGAACCAAAGTGTAGCGGGCTTGCCCACCAAAGTCCCGCCAGCTAATTAGACGCAAATGTGCTTTTGTTCACTTTTCAACACTCCCAGAAACACATGCGCATGTGCAGTACACATATGTATGTACATATGTATATATGTATGTAGCATTAGGGATGACCAGAGCTGCGATACTCGTATTTGTTGAACAGTGGTAGCCGTGACTTTTCCGTTCAAAAAATATCACTTATTTAAGCAACTGTACATACTTTGACATCATCTATTTTGTTTTCTTTTTTCTGATTCCAGAGTCCCAGTGTCCCCAGTACGGCGAGGTGAATCAGCTGGGCGGCGTCTTCGTCAACGGTCGACCGTTGCCAAACGCCACGCGCATGCGAATCGTGGAACTGGCTCGCCTCGGTATGTATTTCAAAAATATCAGTTTTGTAAATTTTTGCTCTAAATATTAATCAAAAGAGATTCAACAATTAATCGGAAGTTAATTTTCAAAATTGCCAATCTTTCAATTTTTTTTTTTTTTACATTAAAACAAAGCAACATTCAATCAAATTAAAGCACACATTGGTAAAAACATAAACTATTTGGTTTTTTTTTTTGATTTTAAAGAAAGGAGTGTTGTTTATATTTTAAATTATTATTAGGAGAAAACCACTGATAGGAATTAAAGGTAATATTGATAAAGTTATTGGAATTATGATGGGAGTACTAATCTCGCTGTTTAGTTGGATGCAAAATATAACTCCAAAATATTGTAGATGCTTCACACTTATTTATACAAATGGGTGTGTTTGATTGAAATAGTGTTTTCAATTCGAACGAACCATTATGGATAGAATTTTGTTTGCTAATTTAGGGATAGGTAGGTTAAACAAAAATGCCCATTTGAGGGAAAACCTTATAAATAATTCTGTTAAGAATTATTTAATATTTACAAATACACTGGCACATTATGTAATTACTAATGAAGCATTTACGTATTTTCGTCTAATAGGCATTCGCCCATGCGATATATCACGCCAGCTGCGAGTGAGTCATGGCTGCGTTTCGAAGATACTGGCTCGTTACCACGAAACAGGCTCGATACTTCCTGGCGCCATTGGCGGCTCCAAGCCCCGCGTGACCACCCCGAAGGTGGTCAACTACATTCGCGAGTTAAAGCAACGGGATCCGGGAATCTTTGCCTGGGAAATACGGGACCGGCTGCTTAGCGAGGGCATCTGCGATAAGACAAATGTTCCCAGCGTCAGTTCCATATCGCGCATTCTCCGCAACAAACTGGGAAGCATTGGACATCATCACAGCGGCAGTTCGGCAGCACTAGGTGTGAACTCCAATGGCAGCGGGGGCGGAGGTGGTGGTGCAACCAACAACATGGGCATTAGCAACGGCTCCGCCGGACAGCACACACACTCCACCCACCATCATCATCATAGCCACCACACAGCAGCGGCGGCAGCTGCCAGTGCCCATCATGCGCATCTCTACAATTCCATTTATCAGCCGTATAGCGCAGCCGCAGCGTACAGCATGAAGTCGGTCTCATGTGGCAGTCCTTCGCCCCCTCAGGCATCAGCTGCGCAGCCCCATCAGCTGCGTAGTGTGGCCGCCGCTGCAGCACACTGGCCGTCGTCCCACTCTGTCAGCGACATCCTGGCGCATCATCAGGCGGTGGCCTTACGCGCCAGCTGCCAGGTGGGCAATGCAGTGTCGCCGTTGCCCATGACTCCATCGCCAGTCACCGGCGCGGCAGGTGCCCAGCAGCTCCTCGACTGCGAGAGCGGCACACAGGTAATGGCGGCTCAGCAGCCGCCCTACAACTATTACATGTATTTTCAAAACGGTGGCATGCACCATCATCATCATCATGGCGGCATGATGGCTGCTGGCGCCACAGGCTTATGAGAATGAAGCAGTCGGCAAGTTAGTCAGTCGATGTCAATCAGTCAGTTTGTATGTGGGCCAGGTTTAGAACCGCATCTCTCATTCGATTTGCCATAAATTAAGCAACTTACTTTTTAAATGCAACGTCAACTAAGGCCAGCGAAAGGTCATACATTCATATGAAGTACTTTATTTTCAAGATAAATCTCAAACAATTTCGAATTCGTAATTACTGGCAAAGATTAGCGGTATTCCTGCAAGTGATTTTGATTAGATCAATCTATATTATATCTAAATTAGTCTTCTTATAGATAACACTTTACTTACCACAAAAAATATTCATCCTAACAATACATTTAAGAATAAAACACATAAAACTAATCTCAGCAATGCTTCTCTAGAAAATGCAAACGCAAAGGAACTATAATTTTGAAAGAAACCGATACACTTGAGATTTATCTTTGTAAATATTGGGAACTATCTATTTCGCTGGCTTTTTTAGTCAGTTATGCGTGAAAAGGTAACACCCCAGCTACAACTTAATATATACATATTTGCAAACATAGATGATACTGATACTCTCTTTAATTGTTAGTTGAGTACACTGCACTTTTCCTGGTTGCTCTTTATAAACGAATTTGAAGTAAATTTGGAGATTTTTTATGTTATTCATTTTGATGAGTGCAAATCGAGCATAAATTCAAAAGTGGATATCTATATTTTTATTATTAGATAAAACGATCATTAAAAACATAAATATATGTGTACATATACATACATATAGAAAGTATTGAGTTCTGTTACAGCATAATATCGATTAAGGTGCCTGTAACAATATATTTGTACAATATGAATGTTTGTTAAGTACATACTTGTATAAGAAAGCTAGTTCACTAATTTATGCCATATATCTATATATATACACTTACTTATACATACATACACTTGAATATGAGTGTGTAGCTCTAAATTTCAGATGTATCTATGATAAAATAAAATCGAAGCAATATTTGTATTTTCAATTGGTAATTAATGTGCGGTAAATGGTGACGAGCTTTCGTATTTTAGTCTGCTTTACTCTTAATGCATATGATATATAGTACATATACATAGCATGTAAAGGGTGATGGCACATTATGATTCTTAATTAACTGTTCTCGTCAAGCTTCTGGATTGGGCTTAGGGACAGCATTCACTCGCATCTGGGTCCTTCTTAACCCAACCAAAGAAAACGTAGCCCATACCCAGACCCAAGATAATGGCTAAGCACAACCAGTAGTTGTACAACATGATAATCAACATGATTAAATACGAGATAGTAATCTGAATCATATTCAGAAGTGTTTGCACAAGATGCCCTGAAGCAAACATCCGTTCCTTGACACTTTTCTCGCGAAACTCCGTGGCTGCATTGGAGCAGCCGTCGGAGCAGCCATTATTTTCGGCCTTATTCTGCAGCTCCCGAGCAATGCGTCGGGCTTCCCTGTCCTTGCGAGCATCCCGAACCAGTAGCTGCTCACGCACGAACTTAATCACTTCATAAACGAAACAAAGCAAAAATATGGCTATGGCGGAAAGCACGAAATTGGTCACCGTTGTGGGCAGCCATCCCTTCCAAAGGATCATCTCGCACGGACGAGTATGGAACTGTGGATAGATAATCCAACATAATTATTTGTACCGCCACCACTTCGATTCTATTTTTCGGGAGTTTCCTTTATAAATTATAATTTTCCAAATAAACAACCACGCTATGTTTTAATAATATTGTGAATAGTGAGTGTTCAAGGGGCATCTCATAAATTCTTCTAACACTTACATACATCATCATTCTACAGGGATTGGTAAAGGTTCCATTACTCGTGTCGCCGCCATGATCCATTTCGGTTAGATTGGACTTAAACAAAAGAAGGTCAACTAACGTGCAATATGCTGCAACTTCTGCGGATCCAACACACTTGCTTGAGTGCTGAGAACGAAGCGAAGACTACTCAGACCGAGCTGTCGCATGTTGTTTTTTAAAGGAAACTCGACACTAATCCTACCTAGGCGATAGACATACGCTTATCTCTCAACTGTGCGTGTTATCAATTCTCTATCTCTCTCTCTCGTTTTGTGTAGCGATATTAAACGATATCACCGGCACAGATAGTCTGAGAAGCGACCGATACTACCAGGAGAGACAAATAATGTGTACATGTTGTGCGGGGGGTAGGGGTCGACAGAGATTCAGGTCATATCCATACTGTATACAAGTATTAGGTATTAAGCAAATCACAACACTTTAATTGGGGTCACTAAATTCGACCAGAAGCTAAAAAGTTAATGCAATCTCACGATTTTTCTATACCCTTATACCCTTATGGTATTATTTACAGCAATGACTGCTTCTGATAACTGGACATCGCTTGGAACAATTTTTAGTGTGTAGCGTTTTTTATAGCTTTTATGGCATGTGGCTGATAGATGAGTTCGAAGGCATAGCAACCGCTGTTCCACTTGTTAAGCGATCGACCGTTGGTAGGTAACTTTCCCACTCTCCTATGTGAGCGAACGAACGAACGTCTTTGGGTTACTTGGCTTTGAAATAATTCGATGTCTGGCTAGGTCCAACAAATAGCGATTAAGTTTTTGGCCGTGTGCAAAATTTAAGGCCGTGCGCAAAATTCGAAATTTGGTGACGGGTGCCAAAAAAAATTGGTGGAAAACCATTTACTGAGGTCCCAATGGTTTGGTTATTGGGAAGAGCCACAAAAAGCTTTTCTGGCAACCCCCCGTATATAAGAATTATAGATCTTTTTAATAAAAATTAGATACACGTATTACTATCAGAGTACACAGTTTTTAAAAAATCGTTAATCTGGAGGCAATATGAAATTAAATAATTGAGAGTCAGCCTTTGAAATTTATGAGATTGTGACATGTCAATATCGATGTCTTGAATTCAATATATTATTATTTGGACTTTCAGTGTGGGTATTCCCGATATAAAGTTTGTACAAGAATTAATTAGAATTGGCCTGTTTCTTTTGGTTTCTTTTTCCCGGGATACAAATATCTTATTATTTTATAAAAAAATAAAGCTTGTGGTAACAACACGTAGGTTGTGTAAAAATAAAATAATTTAAAAACAAACTTATTATTATTAATTATCAGTCTTTGGTTGTACCTAACGCCAACAAAAGCTTTCAAACTACTTACTATGTATGTAGTTCTTATCCAATAACCAAACCTCCTCATGATGGTTTCTTCTTTTGCACCCGTCACCAAATATCGAATTTTGCACACGGCCGTACATTTTTGCACACGACTTAATACTTTAACGTAATTTGGACCTAGCATGACATAAAACTCTATCAAAGCCAAGTGAGCCAAATATGCTCGAGCGTTCACTACGAATCAACCAACGGTCGATCGCTTAGCAGCCGTTGCTATGCCTTCGAGCCATCTATCAGCCACAAGCAATAAAAGGTTAAAAAAAAAACCTCTATACCAATAATTGAAAGCCATGTGCAATAATCAGAAGTAGAAATTGTAATAAATAATGCCACTCTAAAGTGTTTAGAATAATCGTAGGACTGTAGTATTACTTCTAGAAAATACATTGCATAGAATTTTGTATCGGAATGAACAATTTGGTAACCTCAATCAAACTTGCCATTAGCTTATTATGTACATTTTATAGAGTATAAACATGACATGAATATCTTTCGACTCCTACCCCCCGCACAACATATAAACATTATTTGTCTCTCTTGATACTACGCTGCAACTTCTCGGACGGTCAGTGCCGGTGCTATCATTTAATATCGCTACACAAAACGAGAGAGAGATAACACACACTGGTAAGAGATAAGCGTACGTCTATCGCCTAGGTGGGATTAGTGTCGGGTTTTCTTTAAAAAACAACATACGGCCACTCGGTCTGAGTAGTCTTCGATTCGCTCTCTGCACTCAAGCAAGTGTGTTGGATCCGTAGAAGTTGCAGCATATTGCACGTTAGTTGACCTCCTTGTGTTTAAATTCCATCTAATCGAAATGGATCATGGCGGTGACTCGGGCGGTTCAAGTACTGTCGATTCTTGTAAAATGAAGATGTATGTAAGTGTTATTTAAATGAAGCTTCTTCGTAGCATCGTATAAGCAACGCGCTCTCGCTTCTGATTAAGAGATGATTCTCTCAGCAGTTGTTAATCAATTAGATTTCGCGCTACGCAATGTTTATAAACCTACAGAAATTATACATACATACATATGTATGCATGTATAGTACATATACAGGGTGTTACGAGTGTGAAGCCATCTATCATTCCTAAAAAGAATTTGTCACCGAAACATAGTTAAATGTTCTGGTAGGGAATGGAGAACTAAGGCACTTTAGTCGCTAAATGTCTACGGCACTGGGTCAATCAGGGTGACATGGCGGATGTCCGATAATATATAGCCTAAGCGATTTGGTGTTCAGAAACCTCCGGTTTTCTTTCATATAAACGAATAAGATGCAAATAATATATTAGTTTGAACTGAATATGTTTTAGGCGTGCTCTTCTAGCATCGTATTGCTAAGTTAAGGAATTGCACATTTAACTTTCTTAAAATGTAATCTGGTCATATTATTTTATTTTCCAGTTCCATGCCCGCCACTGCGAACAAATACTCTGGCTTGGGTGGTTTCCCCACACTGTGACAAATTTTGTACTCTCCGCAATAGCAATTTTTTTGCTTTCCTTCTTATATGAAGCTCTCAAGTTCCTGCGTGAACAATTGCAGATTCGTGATGCGCGGAAAGAGGCCGAAAAGATGGCTCTGGAGTTGCGGAATAAGAATAATGATAGCGGCTGCTCCGGCGGCTGTTCCAACGCACCGCTTGCCGAGCTAAGGGAGAAAACTTACACGGAACGGTTATTATCTTCGGGTCATATTGTGCAAACGTTTCTCATCCTGATTCAGATTTTCATGTCCTATATGCTTATGTTGATTTTTATGACAATGAACTACTGGCTGTGCTTATCCGTCATCTTAGGTCTGGGTGTTGGCTACTTTTGTTTTGGTTGGATAAAAAAGGAACCAGAGACTGGCGAGTGTTGTCCCTGAGCACTGTCCGGGAGTTAAATTATTCGTTATAGTACAATCCATCATATCGATATTGATTGATAATTATAAATTATGCCACGGAATTACTCCTATACGTATGTACATAGGCTCGTATGTACAAACAAGAAAAGAATTCTGAAGGAACTTATAAGTGTGTATAAGATAAGTTTGAGCAAGGTTCTTGTTACAATTTCCCCACACATTTGATAGCATTTTTATCTATCGTAGATACATTTGATATTGGAACGTTAAAAGACTAGTTTTTTATACTTCATAATACCTTATAAACACATATGTATTATTCAAAGTAAAGACTTTAATAAAATAAAAACTGTATATACTTTATATATATATATATATATATATATATATATATATATATATATATATATATATACATCTTCAAATTTTAATGTTAAATAAAAAGGTTCAGAAGCAAAAGAAGAAAAGTTCAGCTAGAAATACCAATTTTACCTTAAAATGATTCCAGTGGTTGTTAATTTATGTCTATTCTTTTCTTCGCTGGCTATCATGTCTTATATACAATCAAGTAAAATACCTATTATAGTAATTAGTGTAGTGTTAAATGGATATGGAAATCAATATAAATATTTGAAATACACGTTACGTATTACGGCTTTACACGTTAATAGAGCTGCCAGAGACAGAAACGTGTTTTGGAAAGATTGGCAACTCTACTACAAATGGGGTGGCAGCCTTATTCCCGACAGTATTCTTGCCAACGATAATAAGCGAGTGCGTTCTATTGTCCATTCCATATTGGTTGTGTAATATATTTAATGTGAAGTATTATGTGAAATATTGCAGGACACATTCGCCCGTCTCGCGTTACCCCCAGCGCCAAAATGTTCGCCCTACGCCAGATGCGACTCCAAGGTAGAATTCACATGCCATATTCAGCAGCAAGAGCGAATATAACACCGATCTTGCCGGCGCGTGTTCTAATTAGCCTGCACACACACACTTATGACCACCGACAGAGGCTATCACAACATTGCAAGCACATGGCAATTGCAAAGCCGCAAATGTATTTGCAGCGAACCAGTTCCACCCTAAGCGCGCCTAAAGAACAGAGTGAAACACCTGATGGGCGTTCCACAAAGTCCTTGATGGAGGAATTGAGCACCAGTGTCAGGCCTTACAAGCAGCTGATGCGCTTAGATCGCCCAATAGGAACGTACCTACTGTTTTGGCCCTGCGGCTGGAGTATCGCGTTGAGCGCGGATGCCGGCTGTTGGCCCGACTTAACGATGTTAGGGTTGTTTGCCACAGGTGCTTTAATTATGCGCGGTGCCGGTTGCACCATCAACGATCTGTGGGACAAGGACATTGATGCAAAGGTAGAGCGTACACGCTCTCGTCCATTAGCATCTGGTCAAATAACACAGTTCGATGCCATAGTGTTTTTATCGGCACAGCTGAGCTTGGGCCTGCTGGTGCTGGTGCAGCTGAACTGGCAGTCTATACTGCTGGGCGCCAGCTCCTTGGGCCTGGTTATTACGTACCCGCTTATGAAACGTGTAACATACTGGCCACAACTAGTGCTGGGCATGGCCTTCAACTGGGGCGCCCTGCTGGGTTGGTGTGCCACTCAAGAAAGCATCAATTTAGCCGCCTGCCTACCGCTTTATCTTTCGGGTGTATGCTGGACTATTGTATATGACACGATCTATGCGCACCAAGACAAGCTTGACGATTTGCAAATTGGCGTTAAGTCGACGGCTCTGCGATTCGGCGAAAATACGAAAGTGTGGCTCTCCGGTTTTACAGCAGCCATGCTCACCGGCCTTTCCGCGGCAGGATGGGCATGTGATCAAACGCTGCCCTACTACGCTTCTGTTGGAATAGTTGGCGCACATTTGGCTCAACAGGTAAGAACCGTTCGTTTACCACAGGAACCCTTTAAATAATATACTTCCGTTTGTCACTAAAGATCTACTCGCTGAACATAGACAATCCGAGTGATTGCGCCAAGAAATTCTTTTCAAATCATCAGGTTGGTCTCATTCTCTTTCTTGGCATTGTGCTTGGCACGCTCCTTAAGTCGAAAGACGCAAAAAAACAACGACAAACTGCGCCCACATCTACAACAGCCAACACCTATGTAGCGCTACCAGCAAACCCCGAGGTTATAAGCTAAAATGTTTTTACAATCGGTGTTAATTTATTTTTTATTGGCGGTTTTTGTGCGCGCTTTAGACCAAAGTCTGTGTATAGCTTAATTTTGTAGTTTTAACACATATTGTATATAGTTTATACGGTTTTCTGGAAGTGCAAAAACTTAAATTAGAGAGTAATTACACGCACTTTTATGTCAATATAAAATACCTCATTAAGATCACATATAAATTGTATATGAATGGCTCTACTGAGGGCACAGCGTCCTAGCTCCTACGAAATATATTCGCGCGGAGACACTTGACAATGACAATATTCCGCGGAGAGGTCTTTTTAGCGACAAAAAATAATTTCTTTACACGATTTTAGTAAATATTATTTATTATTACTAAACAGATTTTGGTTGTGCATTAAAATCCAAATACTCTCCAAATGTACTCGTATTTACTTCATGGGTTGTAATTAGTATTAATATATTTATAAAAGAAATTTTGTTAGGTATGTCCGTATAAAAACCAATATACCCAAGAAAACTTAAATTAAATCAGCCACATTCATGGGCATCTCGTCGATTTGCGTCGAATAGTATTGCTCAATATCGCGCAAGATACGAATATCGTCGGATTTTACAAAGTTAATAGCCACACCCTTTCGTCCAAAGCGCCCAGAACGACCGATGCGATGAATGTACAACTCGCGATTATTGGGCAAATCGTAGTTGATAACTAATGAGACTTGTTGGACGTCAATTCCGCGCGCCCACACATCCGTGGTGATTAACACACGTGACTGACCGGCGCGGAATTCCTTCATAATCTCATCTCGTTCTTTCTGTGGCATGTCGCCATGCATGGAGCTCACTGTGAAGTTGGCTTCCCGCATTTTCTCCGTTAGCCAATCCACTTTGCGCTTTGTGTTGCAGAATATGACCGCCTGAGTGATGGTCAATGTGTCATAGAGATCGCAAAGCGTATCGAACTTCCACTCCTCACGCTCTACGGCCACGAAGAACTGCTTAATTCCTTCCAAGGTCAACTCATCGCTGTAAGGAAAGCAAATATTTTACATTGGTTAATACAAAGGTAGTTAACAGCTTACCGTTTGACCAAAATTCTTATGGGATCTGTCATGAACTTGGACGTCATCTCCAAAATTTCGTGCGGCAATGTAGCAGAGATAAGCACAACCTGTGTTGCAGGCGGCAAATAGCGGTATACATCATATATTTGCTCTTTAAATCCTTTATTCAACATCTCATCAGCTTCGTCTAACACTAGCATTTTTATAGCTCTGGAAAAATGAAACGAAATTTCTTTATAATATTGCATTCAATATTTACCCACATTTCAAAAATTACCTTGTGCGTAGCACGCGCCGTTTAATCATATCAAATACACGACCTGGTGTTCCACTTACAATGTGCTGGCCATAGTCCAACTTGCGTATGTCCTCGCCAAGATTCGTGCCGCCAATGCACACATGACATTGCACATTCATCATGTCGCCCAAAGCTAAAATCACCTTTTGTATTTGGACAGCTAATTCGCGCGTGGGAGACAAGCACAAGACTTGTGTCTCGCGCAGTGTGGTGTCCAAGCTTTGTAGAATGGAAATTGAGAATGTGGCCGTTTTGCCCGTACCAGATTGAGCCTGAGCAATCACATCGCGTCCCTTGACTATGGGCTTAATGCTGCGCTGCTGGATTGCGGATGGTTTCTCGAAGCCTGCAAATATATACTCCTTTTAATATACAAATGGACAGACACTCATGCAGACAGCGTTTTCCTTACCATACGCGTATATGCCGCGTAGCAGCTCCTCTTTCAGATTCATGGCATTGAAAGTAGGAATAACCTCCACATCTTCGCTGGTCTCAAACTCAACGTTCGAGAGGTCCTCGGCCTGGGCATTTTTGCGTGCCATTTTATGTCTTAAATTTGACTTAAGGATATTTTTTTATATTTTATTAATTCGATTTACAACTTTCTCACGCAAGCGAAAAATGCGGCTGGCTGGTGTGACAGTAAAACCTAAATGGTAAAAATACCAAAAACATGAAGTTGGTATTTCATAAAATACCCAAAAAGCCATTACCAGCCTTGCCACTTCGATAGATTCAAGCAAGATCAATATTTGAATTTAAAGCGTTATCTACAATATACATTTTAAAGATATAACTCGGAGTATCGATTTCATTGCAATATTACACAATAGAAAAACATAATTGCTGATTTTTAAAACTATTTACCTCTATTTTTGCAAAATAGTGTATGTAGCCGCTAAGTTCTTCATTCAACTGTCTCAGACCTAACTAGGAGATTAACAAAAACTTGATTTTACTTTCAATTGTAACAAATTTAGCAGGTTTCGCTTTCAACTTCAATCGCCGCAGCTGTGCCAAGTGAGGTAGTCAGGCAGGCCAAGATTTGTCCACACCTATACGCCAATTGGGGCCGCACGACATTTACTATGAAAGTTACTTTTCGTTTCAATTTTATGAGCTTGCATTAATTTATAGTCCCTGTTATGTCTGCCATTTGTCCATCGCATGTAAGTTTCGTGGACTAATATAAAATATATATTTATTTAAAATTGAAATCTGTATAAAATCGTGAAAATAAGTTAGTTAACTTTTGCAAACAGTATCCTTCTTAGTGGGCCCAAATCCTTTTTTTTCAGCCGTTTTATTTTGAAAATCAGCCGTCGCATAGATTCTATGTGCTGTTTGGCTTCAGCGGCCGCACATGCCGCCTTGTATGCATTTTCCTTTGTGCGCTCGCAGTCTTTCTTAGCTTCAACCATGCAGTTTTGCAACTCCTGCAGCCGTCGCCTCGCCATTTCCAGCAGCTGCCGCTTCTCCTTTAATTCCTTTTGCGCATTGCAGGCTATAGACCGTATTTTTTGTAGATTTTCGATGCCGTCCCGCAGTAGACACTTCAGCCGTTCCATGTGTTGTTTTATCGCTCTTGCCATTCGAGCAGCAGTCTCGGCACTGCACTGACTATTGGCCAGAGTGCTCTTCACCTCCTCGATGACAGCATTGGCCTCGCATAAGCTATTCTGCAACTGTTCCACCAATTGCTTTCTACCCTCCAGAGCTGCCTCCGCAGAACATGCTGCCTGTACTGCCTTTTCGGCCAACTCTTCTTTGGCTCGCTGACTTGCGGCTTCGGCAGCACACAATTGCGCATCCTTAGCATCCTTGGCGTCCTGTGCTGCCTTCGAGGCAATATTGCTGTTCTTTTGTTTGCATGATACTCCAGCCGGCTTAGTGCCCTTCTTGGGTTCACAATTTGCCGGTCGATGTGCGCGCTTACCAATCGCCAGCCAACTACGCTTATCACGTTCGGGAAGACTTGCACTTCCACAGGCTGCCAGTAGATTGCTTATAACGAAGATCATCAGCAAACATGTATTCCGCATGGGGAAGCTCACATTCTACATAAATCTCTGTGATGTGCTATACGTATATGTATATTTTACAAGTATATATACAAAAATCAAATGGAAAATTCAAGCAAAATATTGTGTTTAAAAAATTGGCAAAGAAAATGTTTTCCAATGTACGTGTTTAGTGGGCTAATAGAGAGAGTAATGTATCCATTGGGTACGGAGGTAGAAACCAAACAGCCACGCAGACATGGCCGTTTCTACAAATGTTCACATGTACATGTATGTATGTATGTTTGATGATACATAACACATAATAAGTTTTAGACGCGGAACAACTCCCTTTGCTGTCAAAAACAAAAAAAAGCAAATCTAAATTCGTATATATAGTATGTATATGTACGTATGTACAGAATTGGAATCTCTTCTGTGTAATGCTCAAGAACCATCCCAAGGTAACTACAATGCGCTTAAAGTGGTGTCTCCTTTTGCTGTGCCTATGTGGGTGTGCATCTCATGGAGCTGCTGACCATTTGGGTAAGGTAAGCTCTAAAATCGATGCACCTTTGCAAAATAAACGAAGGATAATGCATGCAGAAATTTATGAAACGCATGATCATGAAAGACTTCGACGGCCTCGGCATCGGGGAGAACAGTGCATCCGGCGATGCTGACTGTGGTGGGAGTGGTCTTGCGAACAAAGAGAATTGCGCAGAGAACAGTAAGGGCAAAGATCGCAGCTGCAACATCAATCTGGGCTCCAGTTCCAAGCGAAAGGCCACCAACATTGCCCAGAAGGCAGCTCAGGAAGCGAAAGCTGCCTCGGATGCCCAAGTATCCGCTGCGGAATCGGCAGCACGTCAAGTGAAGACTCAGTTGGCAGAAAAGGCAGGGGCAGCAGCCAAGGCCGCTGAGGCAGCTCTTGCGGGAAAGCAGCAAATAGTCGATCAGCTGGAGTCGGAGGTGCGTGAGGCGGAGCTGGTGGTACAGGAGCAGGGCTCCTCGTTGCAGAATACCCAATGTAATTGCAATGCTGCGGCAAAAGCAGCCAAACAGTCTGGTATCCAGCTAAAGACACTGACGGAAGCAGCGAAGAACGCTCAAGAAAATGTGCAGAATTCAGAGCAGGCGGCCTCCGGTGCGCAACAAGAACTATCCGAGAAGCAGCAACTTGTCGAAGCTGCTAAGAATCGGGTGGAGCAGCTCTTGCGTCAACTTGACTCTGCCCGCACGGACTTCAAGAAGACCAAGCAGGCCGCTGAAAATGCGGCTTGCGCCGCCCAGGAGGCCAAGCAGCGTGCAGTAAGAGAACGACGTATGGCGGAGGTACGCGAAAAGCTCCTTAGACGGCGACGTCATAATCAATACCAACAATAATATACTCATTTATTGTGGAGTACAAACCGAATATATTTTTTGTCAACTAGCTTAACGCTCATTTCGCATACAACGATGATTTATGGCCTTTCATTGACTGGGTTCCCTCGCTTTTCCGTAACGTCCAGCAGGAAGCATTGAGTCAGCGGCTCTTGGGCGTGGTACAGTGTGAACAGTGTATAATAAAGCAGTCGCCAATAATTTGCTTCCACACTCTATGTATATACACTGAGAAAAATGCACATAATATTTTAAACTCATAACAGATGAACGGCCTTATGACACTAAACTAAACTTAAAAGTTATTAAAAGATTACGCTCGTTAAATTAATGGACGACATTAAATCAGAAGAACAGTCCCTAGAAATAGGAAGCTGAAAATCATAATATTTTGGCCATTGAAATCAAAACGGCTATGCCTGCATAAATTAGAAAAAAATAATAGAGATGCTTATAAACACACACATAAAATCTTTTACAAGTGACAATTTTTTTGGTGTGATCTATTTAATCCATGAAGTTGAATTCGGTTAATCTTTGGACTAATTTCATTGACTTTTCCAATTATTTTTTTCCATCGCCAACTTCAAAGTGCACAATTTTGAGGCTGTAAGACATCCCAATCATCGCTCGAATGGCAGTAAATTGGACAATTGTCCAGGAAACATTGACCTAGCAGCTAGAGCTGTTGTTTTCATTGTTGTTGTCGCCGAATTGCAGACAAAACGGAGCAATTTACAATGCATTGTGGCTGAATGTAAACTCATAAAGAAAATGGACAACGGGTTTGCACTTTCGCGATCAGCGATTTGCGATTCACGATTCATAGATGCACTCAACCAGCCAGACGGCTTTGTTTATAAATACATGCCGCTCCAGGCTGCCTCTTGCATTTGACAACAACTGTCCACCGGACTGGCTAACGTGCAAGTCGGTGCGCACGACTGATCGTTTCCGTTGCAATACGAAAGTAAAAGCGTTTTTCCAACGAACCCGTCCATCGACTTCAAATTGCGCCTTGGTTAGTGGCTCCTGTTTTGGGTCCGGTTGTGGAACCCATTCGTTCATGCATCAGCATTAGAAACAGTTCGCCTGCGACTCAGACAGGACGTACTCTTTAAGTAAGCGCGACACATTTCGCTGTGATTGAAGGCAAGTGTGACTTGTGACTAAGCAGCCGTCAATCAATATGAGTAATTACTGTGCTGGTGATTGTGATGATGTTGGTTTGGTGCATAGGAAGCTGTGCGCCCCAGTTCGAGTGTGCCTATGTGTCTGCGTTGGTGCTGCTAGATGCGCCAGCTTTGGTTTTGGCCTTGAAAGTAAACGGGTTCTTCTTGTGCATAATATTCGAGCTGAGAGCAAAACGAGTGACCACGTGACGCACTCAGATACCACACGAAACTTTACATCTTGTGTCACATGATCAATCAAATTATACGTATAATATGAAAATGAGCTTCTTCAGTTCACAAATCGAATGACCGCTTGACAAATTTAAACTGAACTTGCAATGCATTTTTTGTATAGCACCTACTAAGTATATGATACCTTTCCAAAATCTAACTATTGAACATTTTCGGTAAATTGGGAATCCTAAATAGAAGCAGATCTGCAGTGCTATTACTATCCAATATCTTATGGAAATGAAGTTTATGAATTCTATAATTTTTCAATTTTGAACAAGAAAGGTGGCAAGGCATAGAAAAAGACAGCTAGATTTGATGTTGCAGGTAGTTGTGCAAATGATTATAGTTCTCCAGTTTCAGTGTTTCTTTATTGAATTTGGATTGAGAAATCCATTTGATAGATTCGGTAGCTGCAGTATCCGCTTACGACTCCGAAAATCTTCGTAAAAAAACGAGGCAACATCATTTACATGTTCAAACAGTTAACAAAGCGAATTCACAGCACACCGGTTTCCACATATGTATGTATGTACTTGTACAATTAATATCAAAAACGATATGCAGGTGCCACATTGTCTTGGCAGGAAACGGTTTCCTGAAACTTTCAAATTTTCTCGCTTATATAAGACTTCCATTTCAGACCATTCGACTGCGCCTCGTTGCATAATTATCCAAGATGTCTCTGTGGCGCTTGCTGTTCGTGGTGGTGCTGTTGCTCTTTGGTAAAAGTTAGCCCAAGCCCACATTTATAAACACAGGCTTATGATTCGCATTTTCTTCTCCATCAGACACGACGGCACTGGGACGCAAGGTGAAGCGCAAAGAAGGCCATTACCATCTCAACGTACCACCTCCGCCGCCTCCCCAGTCCTTGCAGACTGAAACGCATTCCGCACCAATCGAACATGAAGTACCGCCCTATACTTTCGAGGCCATAAATCACGATGAGTTCGCTGCCCCGCCTAGTCCTAGCCTGCACGCGCAGATTTCACGCTACGAGAGCATCAATTATGGCGGAAGCGGGGGCTTCCTGGTGGATAACGGCCTACGCAGCATAGCCAAGGGATCCGCGGATCAGGCCATTTCCGCTGTAGCCAATCAAAATGCGGCAGGCAAGCAGGCCTCGTATGTGGCAAAAAGCACACTCGCCCAGGCTGCAGCTCAAGCAGCCGGCACAGCAGTTGCCGTGCTCAAGGGCAAGGAAGTGCTCCTGCGTCGACTGGAAGAGCAGAGCGCCGAGGCGCACAAGGCCATGGAGAACGAGTTGGCGCAACTGCAGCAGGCCAAACGCTCGGCCAAGGCGGCCCAGTATGCAGCCCAGCAGGCCATCAACCATGTCAGTGTGCTCACTGCTGCGCTAAATAATGCACAGTCCTCCTCCGAACTGGCCCAGAAAGCCGCCTCCGAAGCTGCCGCTGAACTAGCCTCCCAAATCGATATGGTGGCTCAAGCCAAGGGTAAGCTGGAGCAGCTGGAATCACACACCTATACGGCTCGCCTTGACTACGAGGAGACGCGCGATGCAGCGGAGAAGGCAACGCTTTCGGCGCAGGAAGCCCAACTGAACGCCAACGATGCAGCTCTACATGCCAACGCAGAGCTGAGTGAAGCGGTACTCATCCATGACAAGAGCGACCACAACGTGGGCGAGCAGATGCCGCCTCGAAATCACAAACGCCACTAGAAGGCGGCCAAGTTCAGCCAACGGTCTGATGTGGTCGGCGATTTCGAGGCTTCACCTCCAACATTGCCCAATGTTTACCTAAATTATTCAGTTTGAACGTATTTATGTGTTTGCATGTTTTCCATCGAATCTAGCGCTCAAATTCCAGTTTCGTGCGTAATCGTGAGTGCTTGGTGTGATCCAAAAAGCATACACGAACTTAGCACAAAAAACACACACATTTTTTCTACTATATTCTAAATGCACAATAAAATGTACTACAAATTATTATATTATTATACTAATTCGATAAATTTTAGAATTTGTCCACAAGAGGCGCTAAAAAAATAATTTAAATGCAACTTCTGGCCAACCCCTGGACGACGGACAGGGCTCCTTAGCTTGACTTTGGATAAAATATTTCTTCATACAATTCGTAATGTTTTTAACTTAAACCTAGCAACCATAGATAAGGTATTTTGTATGTCGAAATAGTTTGTTTATGTTTTAATTACATATATAAAATTACAAACCATTTTTAATTGTTTTACTATGAAAATTGTTCGTGAAAAAACACGACTAATGGCACATCTCTAGAGCAAAACTAGCACACTTGATGACGTAATTGGCTGCATTTCCATTTGTAACTTTCCATACATTCAATATACTCAGGTACCAGGCGAGCATAAGTGAACAGCAAGCTCACAAGTAAATTGTAAATGTAAGCCGTGGTTCACATAGCTACATGATCCAAACGGTGCATTGCAAATGTAAATAAACTGACGTTCTCCTATTGGTTGCATTTAAATGTAAACAAAAGCGATCCTTACGGTGCTTTCCGAAATGTAAACAACAATCAGCTGCTTGACCTTAAATAAACAAGCAATGCATTTGCCTACTGCTCATTTATGTTCACCTGGTAGAGAAGGCTGGTTTAGCGACGTTGAAAGACCGCGCCAAGTTGGTTGCGGGAATTAGTTTTTCGATTTAAACATTAATTTCCATGAATTTCATATACATGTATATGTATATACATATACCAGGCGAGCATAGGTGAACAGCAAGTACACTGGGCGACTGGGATTTAAATTGTGAATGTAAACAGTGGTTCACAATAGCTACATGATCCAAACGGTGCATTGCGAAATGTAAACAAAATAGCCTTCTCCTATTGGTTGCATTAAATGTAAACAAATGCAATCCTTACGGTGCTTTGCGAAATGTAAGCAACAATCAGCTGTATAACATTAAAAACACAAGCGATGGATATACCTACTCCTCGTTTATGTTTGCCTGGTAGGCAACGAGTTCAAAAGTAGTCCAGCTCGGATTTAGTTTGTTCCGGTTTTTTCTAGTTTTTTTTACTAGGATTCCTAGTTCAGTTGGGTAAAATAAATGTCACTTCAGAATATGCTTTTATAGAATTTTAGTATCGCAGATGCTGATGCATGTCCAACCGACAGTTGTACTTGTATGTTATGTGGAGAAGGAGAGGACTACGAACACTCGTAATCCTCTCATTTATAAAACTCATTTCGTCTGCCTATAAGTGTTAGTCAGACATACGTTAATTACACATTATTAGAATAATTTGTAATGGCCCGGCCTTATCTGGGACTAGGCTGGGGCTTAGTTCACATATCAAAAACATGTTTATTTTTCGAAAAAATACAATAAATAAATATTAGGTTACATTCAATATGCAATAACAATAACCGCTTGGAATTGCACTAGATTGGTTTAACTAGAGCCTAGCCACTACAACTATAACGAAGCCTAGGGACAAGATTTGAATGTTACACGAGTAGCATGCAAAGCACGATAGGAAGTAAATAAACCAGAGACTAAGACAACTGTATGATTATGCAAGACATTTGACTATGAAAAGCAAACCGACCAGAGACGCTCGACCGTGTAAACCCTTAAACTAGATCTCAGATAGCACTAAAATTAATTGGAGAGCTGCTGCTGTTGAGCTCCATCCGGCACAGTGAGCTCTCCGCTTGTTGACGTTGTCGTTGACTGCTGCGCTTGCTGGAGCTCCGTCTTCTTGGCTTGCTCCAGTCTTCGGGCCACACCCTCCATGGACTCACGCAGCGTATCTATGTCCAGGGCGTTATCATCCTTCTCGTTGCCCTGCTCGTTCTTCTGACTATTGTACTTCGAGAAGTACGTGAGCGACTTCATGAGCTGATAGCTCTTAGAGATGGGTATATTGGAGTCGTAGACACTGGTGCTGGAACTGCAGTCCACATAGAACCACCAATTGCACTTGAGTATGGTCTGATCGAAGAGCGTGTTCTCCGGGCAGAGGAAAGACTTGCGCACCATGCCATCATCAGTGAGGGCGCACACATGGAAGACCTGTAACTATAGGTTAGTGTCTGCCAATGGGACTGGAAGGAAGGAGCTTACCATGCAGCCCAGATCGGTGTCTGCGTAGAGGCCGGGAAAATGTTTCTGCTTCGCACAGGAGAAGCTCGTTGGCGGCAAATCCACTTTGGACTTGAAGTTGTCGTCAAAGTTCTTCTCATATCCGACAGGATAGTATTCCTTGGGCGCATTCATAACCTGTTGAAAAGCAAAGAAACAGTTGTACACACATTTGAGAAGCAAATAGCAGCGTTCCTCCCACCTTGGAAGCTTTGTGTTCCTTCGACACCGCCTCTATGTACATTGGTCGCGGTGTGGTTGTCGTGGTGGTCGTTGTCGTCGTTTTGATCGTCGACGTTCGCATGAACTCTTCGCGCAGCTTGGCCGCCAGCATGGCACGATGTTCCGCCTTCAGCTGCTGCTCTCGCACATATATGGCGTGCTTGATCGTCTCCACACTGACATTGGCTGCTGCAGCCAGCTCCTCAACGGTCACGTCCTTTAAGTCGAACTTGGGCTCCTCAAATTGCAAATAGTTCGGATGCTTGGCCACCTTAGTTGCCGTCGTCTTTCCCACATTGGCGATGCGTGAAATGGAATCGGGCATGGCTTGGAACACGGGCACTGCCTGCGGTTGGGAAACCACAGGATTATCTGTGTGGAAGGTGCGATTGGAGTGCTGCGAAATAGATAGGTTAGCACACGATTTCTTCTTCAATATGGTATTTTATAACCCAACAATGAGAATCTTGTTCACATAGAGAGAAGCGAGCGGAAACGAATATTAATACTAAGATCTTGAAAAATTGCTCCCTTATTTTACAGTAAGTACTCGTATGTAAAAAACCACCTTTTCAATATTTTAAACTGAATATCTCCAATCGGAATGTTCGGACCATTACAATAAACAGGATGCTGGGTTCGACCATCTCTCTAACAATTCCTAACCTTTTCTTTGCAACGACCATCCGTCTCCATATTTTGACGTTGATGACCGTAGATATCGATATATGGAAAGCTCGTTTAGAGAAGTGGGAAAATTTGATTAGTAACTGTTGTGGACAATTTTTAAAATATCTGCTGCTTCTCTTGACTAACTAAGTATGAGTGGCTTCCCAAGTTCCGGTCCTGCTTTAGCGTAGCGACTCACCGGCTTAGCATGGCTGTCCACTAGCTTGTTATTCAAGCTGACACGCGGCTGAGGCGTGTCCACGGCTATGCGACGCTGTGCACCTAACGGTGTCTGTACCGCCTCGTTGACGGCGGGTTTCTTGGGAATAGGTCGGAAAGCGGGTACGCCCAGCGGCAATGGCCGGGCCTCGGTCATGAGAGGTTGCTGTGGAGCGGTCGCTGCCGCTTGCCTCTGTATGGCCTGCTGCAAAAGCTGGACATTGTAGGGCAAGGGGCCCGTGGATCGCGAGCTAATGCGTTTCTCCGGTAACGCCTGCTGACTGGTCTGCTGGTAAAATAGATAATACATATCATTAAAAGCAGTAGAAAAGCTCTGTGTGCACCAACTTACCCTTGCCTCCTGCTGAGTGGATGGAAGCACGCCCACCAGCTCGGGCGGGGCCCCGTTTTTATAGCTAATGGCGCGTCGCCGACCGCCCTCTAAGTTGCCCAGTGATTCGGCAAAGCCCAGTTCATCGCCCAAGCTGAAACCTTCAAGCAAAGGTATTTTTATTATGTATCTCTTAACCAGTACAGATCGTCAGAGTACCCACAAGTGCTTTTTAGTTATTGGGCAAGGAACAGCCAATTTGGATAACCATTAGTCATTACCTCTTATATTGCTGCGATCTACTTATATATAAGAGTGCATACATATGTGAATATAGATACATATGGTTGTGCAAAAGGGAACAATTATTGAACAATTCAAATTTTAAGTGGAATCAAAACTGAAATGTGACTATAAATTGCGACAACTTGCAACTTGCGATTAACGTGGCAAGAAAGCTCTTAATATTTACACTTGGAACTCAATTGAAAACCTACAGAATTTTTGATAAAACGAAAAAGTGCAAATATCTGTAGATGGAGATCTAATACTGTTATTAGTTGAATATTTGCTCACAAATGCTTGTATGAAAAGATTTCTTCGTTCAAACTGGTATACATTTCAGAAGTAATAATCGAGCTTTAACGAAGAAAAGAGAGCCATGTTGGTAGGTAAATAAGTTTCGAAGGGAGACAAATGGCCTTTTAAATGCAGCAACAATTCAAAACAAAAAGCTTGAGTTGCTCATTGGTCAATGTTACGGATATTGATCGAACCGTCGTCACTTCTCCGTACCCCTCGACGTCTTTGTGCGAGTTTTCGAATCGCTGGCCGTTCCAGTTTAGGCTTTGTGTTAACATTTGAGCTCACTCTGCCATTGGCATTGGCATTAATGCATTAATGACGCGTTCGCGGCAGCTTGTTTCGAGTTCTCGCCGATTAGCAGCCAAATTACTAGCACTTGAGTTGATAATAGTGGTAGTGCGTTTGTGAATAAATACAAGTAGTTATCGAATCTTTGTACATATGTACATTCTCATATTTTACAAATTTATTTACAAATCAAGGCAAAAGCGAGATTATGGATTTACCTAAACCGAAATGCGCCTTTAGGCCACCCAAATTTCGTACACGAAATAGTCCAGACTTTTTGAAGTTACAATCGAGTATGAAACCGAAATCAGACGCTAAAACGCACGTCCCGCAAGCCAATCCTATAAATAAATAGAAAAAGCAAACACAGAATAGGATAGTTCTTTAATATAATACAAAAGATATACAAAATTAGTACAAGGCACGTGTAATTAATTTGGAATGTCTGCATATGTTCGCCAAATTTCCATGCATAGCTTTTGGGTTTTCTGTGTCGTTTTTCTTTCAATCAATGTTTCCAATACCAAGATGATGAAATGAAGCAGCACTTATAGATACGTAACTACCCTACCTGTACTAATATATAAATGTATTTTCAAGAATCGTATAGCATCGTAAGCTTGTTCTATAAGAATTTGATTACTCTGTACCAGGAGCATTAAAAGGGTATAATACTATATATATAGCCATGTCCGTAACGAAACGGCATAATGTCTATGCATCTATCTGTACTCCTTACATGTAAGTATATGTTTATGATCAAATCTAAAGCTTCTAACAATCTATGTCCTTCAAGTTACTCTGCAATATAGATTACAACTAAAACATTACTCTCTTGATGCACCGCCCCCACCTCCCCCTCCCCAACTTGGTAAAAACCGCCAAGTCACGCTCTGCGTGTTTCTCGACACTTTAGCTTATTAACAAGCCGATCAAGGGCTTCAGCCACACATAAAGCGCTGGAATTCGAGGCGCAGCCGCCAAGCACTATTACCACACTCACGCACAAAATATCACAACTAATAGTTTGTGAATTAATTAACTGAACTTAACAACCATAAGACATAAGGCGGCGGCATCTACGTTTAGATGCGTTTCGTATTCAATGGAAGTCAGCACAAAGTTTGAAGAAGCGGATCGTCAAGCCACATCGCTCAGCTTAGCTCAGCTCTGCTCCGGTCAAGTTGTTGATTGATTGCCAGTATTTTGCAACAACAGTCTTAATTAATGGACTAAGTGTAACTGATCGAAAACTGATAGGCTTACAAACTCGACTGACCTAAAAATGAATAAAGCCCAACAAATTATTACAAAATGCTCATCTTCGGATATGCCAATGAGACTGACAAATATATGAAATGAAAACCCCTTTATCTAAAACTGCTTGGAAATACTCTTTGTGTGCTTGGTCCATTGGATAGAAGAATAAGGCAATTCTTTAGGCAAATATAGTGGGAATTCCAATGACAATATCTTAAGAATTAGACACTTCCTAGCTATAGTTGAATAGAGCTCGCTGTTCCTTTAGAAGTGCAATCGTATTAGGATATGTTATTTTAAAATATGACCTTTCACGCTTCCTTCTAGCTGTTGCTTCCGGACTTCTTAGCGTATGGTACTTGCTCATTCTTTATATAATGCGAACAATCAGAATATGCATATACTCGTAGCACACGTGAGGCATGAGAATGCTTAAATAAAAGTAACCTAGTCAGAGAGAAAACTCCCCTCACTTATAGTGGGAGCAAGGTCAGAATTTGGTTCGATTTCTGACTTCCCTGTTGACCGTAAATCTATAAAATATAAATACTTGTAAATAAGACAACAAACCGTGAACTCGGGTTGACAGACTACTTTAAGAAACTGACTAAAGCAATCTGTGTCAACGCATAAATTTAATGCGTACGCTGAAGTGTGTGCAAACACCCGAGTATGAGCATAGATACTCGTGCTTGCTCGGCAAGATGTGTGTGCACATACGGGTATTGTGAGTGCAGGTATTTATGTGTTGGCCAAGAGCAGAAATGGCAAAACGACGCAAGAGCGCAGAGCATTAGCTACGTTGGCGACCCAAGAAAATAAATAAACTTGCAACGTCTTGAGTTCAAATTAAATTGTTAGCATGTCAAGTGGGACATGAAATACGAGTTTCAAATGGATTCTTTCAAAATTGCAACCCGGCCCAAACCCCCGCCCCAGCACCTGTCCCTGTCCTGATAACTCAACACGCAACCATAGGCATCCATATTCATGGAGCGCAGATACATTTCAGTGCGGGCCACAAATTAGAATTGAAGTTTGATCTCTAGCCGTCGCTGGCGTTTAGTGCTGGTCGGTTCTGAGCCACTAAATGGTGGGTCCATTAAGACGCTCAAGTCAATTAATTACTGGTTGTTAGCAGCGCTCAAGTGGAGCGCGAGCGTCGTTATGTTCGGCTCGGTTCAAGGAAAATGGAGCATGTTTTTAAGCGCGGACTTTAATCTCCGACGGGGCAAATGTCGTTAGCGCAATATAATACAGAATTTTTATTATTTTTTCTTCGTACTAATGCCTTTGTACATTTGGCTAATGTTTAAATAACTAGATTCCACTAATGTGGAAATTAGACGAAACATTTAGGTGCTTCTAACGTAGTTGAGGCTCGCAAAAAGTCGAGTGGAGTTAAGCATGACAGTCGATTAATTAAATACTTATATTTGTTCCGCATTGAGAAGAAATGAACAAATTGATGTGTGAGGAACGCAAGCTACAATTATAAAGAACAGTAAGGCCTTTCTTCTTTTACATACTGCATATGATATGAATCTTCTTCTAATCTTATTATTATTTGAGTGATTTCAATATCCGCTCCCCCATTGGAATTCTTTTTTAAGTTTTCTTAATGTTAAGATGCATTTATAACGTATCGTACTGTTTTTTACCGACATAACAACAAAAAAAGGTTTTTTAGAAGAATTTTAAGCTAAGCTTGGCTTGTTTTACCTGTTTATCTGTAATATGTACCTCAAAATATCATAAGGAAACGTTAAAATTCGATTTTATGTTAGTTTGGTTTACGGCCTAATTATGCATATATTTTCTATTTTCATAAAGCATAGGTTAAGGATTTAAAATAATATATGAGAATCAATTTCTCCGAAGTATTCCACATTTACAACTTGCAACCTTTTTCCTGCCCATTTAAATTATTTTAAAATTCCATCTTTAGCCCGCTTCAGTTGTCGATCGAATCGAATCCTAATCTCACTAACATAGTACATATTTCTGCATTATGAATTATCTTGGGCGTTTGCTTGCTTTAATGTTTCTCTGTTTCTGCAGTGTAGAACAAGAGATCTTAAAACTGTCCCAAAGTTAAAGATTGATAGGTAGAGATAAAGCTTCAGCAATTAATGCAGCAATTCAATTTGATCTACATACATGGGGCAGTCGTGTTTGTGGATACTCATTGGGCGTTCGGTGAGACCGAAAACTTTCTACTTTAATTGATATGGAATTTATGTTTTAATAATTATGTCAATGGGTTCGGTGGCAGTACTGCTAACGACGGCAAAGACCCTTAACAGGCATAATTGCACTTTTACTGCCACTGAAGTTTGTCTACGTGAACAGTGAGATATTTGCATAATATAACGCATACGCCTCGTGGTGAGCCCACACTAGCACTAGACTCTGAACGTGATTTGTTCAAAGTGGTGCGTAAGCGGCTATTTTAATTGCGCTTGAAAATTGCAAACTGAGGCCGAATCGAGGCGCTGATGAAGACATAAGTAACGGCCAGCTGCAGTCATCAGCGAAATGGCCAGCAAGCAAGGGATCCGGGGGAGGACTGAGTGTGACGGCAAAAGCAATTAAAGACGCCATCCAAGTGAGCGAGTATTAAATAAATACTTTCTGGAATTTAGCGCGACAAATAAAACAAGTAAGACGCTGCTCAAATTGCTGACATAGGGGAAGAGCCAAAGCCGCAGCTACCGCTCATCTGAGCGGACAGATGGAGGGTCTGGGACCTGGTCTGCCGCTTAGTCACAGGCCGCTTTCACCCGTCACCATCAATCGCGTTTGCGCGCTCGAGTGTAAGAAATTTTAGTTGCTTCGGTTTATGACTTGTCGCTAACGTTGCCGGCAAGCAAATAGAAATTGAAACTGAACAAATAATGAGGCATAAATATGCAGTCGGTGCGCTGCGACCGCGTGCCATTGACCGAGCTCGGAGTGGACGGACACATAGACGGGCCTGCGAGCTTACTTTCCGTTTCAACTGGGAGCTTCTTCAGCCTCCACCCAGACTTATGCCCACTATCAACTCTCGAGTCCAATTAGCACCTCGGCCGCCGCGAAAGTGGGTCACCGAGCAGCGGACAAAATAGTGATATTAATTGCTAAGGCTCGCTCGTGTTTCCCCCGTTATGTTTGTGTTAATTCAATTTGGTCTCTAGCCGATCGTATCGCGGCGCGGCGCGGCGCTGCAAATGCAAATATCATGTATAAATTATCGGCTTCAGTTGGCCCCCTCAAGTTTTACTCGCACCATTCATCTTTCAAAAATGCCGGTCTATAAAAGTTATCTCTTATCTGTGCAAAAGCCTTAACCCCAGCCTCTAAACGTTTTGTATTTTTTCAGTCAATTAAGTGGCTTGCCCTCTCAAAAATGCTGGTAGTTCATATTTTAATTTGGTTTTGACAATACTTTTTTGTTTGTTTAGCTCGCATATTCAACATTTTTACAATCAACTTGCATTGTCTGACAGCTTTTATATTCAATTTTTTCATTGTCTTTACGGCGAGTTATAACAATGTCCAAAACATATATTTTAAAACGATGATGACTCGCATCAAACACACCCATCGACACCGACTCGTTTGGCTCGAATGGTTATAAGCGGAGCCTACACAAACTTTAGGTGACCTATTGAAAGCGAAAGCAAATGGAGTGAATGCCTTGGGTGCGTAGAAAAGAAACCTTCTAGGTTAACAAAACATTGCTATAATAATACCATTGATCATTCAATTTGAAGAATTGCCTCTGCACCAACCATTGTTCAGTACGGATGTGCACAGAAAATGCAGCTGGAATGGTCTTTTCTCGCCTAAAGATAAAGTTCCACAGCAGCAACAAGACCCATTGAAGGTATTTAAAGCTAAACTTGACCTTGAGAACGTGCCAACGCATAAAGTTCCAGTTTCCCACGAACTATTCGAACTAACTATTGTTGGCCCTGCTCATTATTTTGTGGCACGGGAAGTGTTTAACGATATCTGGCACTTTACGACTTCGAAGATAGCCTTGCCCATTGCCATTAAGAAGTAAACCACGGGCCAAATGGACGAACGTAGTTCAGGTATCGACTAGACGACCACTTTTGAGACATTTGCGCTAAGTCGCCATCTGTAAGTCGTACGCTCCAAAGTGCCGAAGCAGAGCCAAATACGACAACAATACGAGTACCCTGAATAAGTGCGATGCGATAGAGTGGCAAGAGTCGGTGTCGGCTTAAAAGCTGCATGTCAATTCGAATTGTCTGTTAATTATGTTAATTGAACGATGGACTTGACAGTGAGCGATAGGGCTAGGAAACACTGAAAACAATACACCTCTCGAAAATTTGACAAACCCACTTGAATGTTTTCATAAATTTGTAAATAAAACTGCAATTGCACCCCTCACCACACCCCCCCCCCCCCCCCCCTCCACATAACATGTGTGTTTGTGAGCGTGGCGGTGTGTGTGTGTGTGTGTGCTTCGTGGCGTGGGGAAACAAAAGGCCCAACCACAACGAAAACATCAACTGAACTAATCATGTGCTGCGAATCCAAAAGCTGCTGCAGATGTTTTGGTGCAGTGCGACGGGGTCTGGGCCTGGGTCTGGGCATGGGCCTAACCCCCTCCCCCAGCCTGCGAAATCGCCTTTCGTAGAGTCAACGTGTGCGACCTCTGAAGGTCTTACGTGAGCGGATTGCGTGTCTCCAGCCAAGTTGCCAGCCAGTCTAGCAGTCTGTGGTATTTGGCTTTTGTTTCCACGAGACGTTGCTGGTGTTGGAGCTTGTTAGAGTTTTGCAAGATGGTGTCAAGTGCTCGGGCGATCGTCGTTGTCACTCCGCAAGCCAAGATGCCACCGAAAACATTGCGATAATTATGTTTTAATTTATTGTTCATTATGCATCTAATAGTGAGCAAAACGTGTCGAGTGCAACATTTGTTTGCTTTGTCTATCATTAATCACTTACTTGACGGCCCACTAAAGATAATTTGTAACATTATGAATTAAACGTGATATAATCATAGTTGGAGGGTTGCTAATGATAATCGCTACTTTTTCAACAAATATTTCAGGCACATATCTTTGGTGTAACGTTTGAAAAATCGTCGAATTTTAGGCATAGTAGATTAGATATAACAATAAGGTCAAATGTAAGCGAACACATTTTATGATTGGGAGATTACAGTGACATCCAATTTGCACATTAAATTATAGATATATAAACATCCACTTTGAGGAGCAACTCGGCCAAACTGAATTATATTTTATCCTTGGGGAACAAAAATAGGAATCATATTGATCAAATAAATTACCCCGTAAATCTATCTGCACCAAAACTAAGAATAATTAATGAAATCGCGTAATAATACACATTATAATAAAGTTCCTCTATAAAGTCATTACACTGAATTGCATTTCACAATTATCCGGGTATTTGGGCTGCCTTCATGGGAGTTGCCTTTCACTTCTTAAAGTGGACGGATGCAGCAAAAATGTGGCCTTTTACTTCTTTTTTTTAAACACATATGACAATGCAATTTCAATTTTTTCCCCTTGGTCAATTGAAGGCTGTCTTTTTTGCAATGTGCATTAACTTATGAGGCGATTGCCACATCTGGCTCCTTGCTTTTACTTTCTTGTGTGCATTTATAAATCTGCAGACGTTCCCAGAAGGTGGACGATGATGACTACTATACGTGGGCTATAGGCACAATATATTCAGCTAAAAGGCAGCCGTTAATTGCCGTAAAGGCAGCAAATTGAAGAGTCATTAGTGGTGTGTTAAGTTGTTTAACACACAGGGCGTTTGCGCGATGTTGCACTCGTGGGGAGTCCAATCGTGTTCACATCAAATGTTTGAGTGCTCCTTGAGACCTGTTCGAATGGTACACGCCTTTTATTTGATAATTGTGTTGTCGCTTTTTCATTAAGAAGTTGCATAAAGCAGCAGGCTGTCAAAAACTGGGTTATATAAAAATAAACTGCACAGAGACACGAACCGTCAAATTGCTTCGTCATTGACCACAAAACAAAAGTCACACACAAAGCAAAAGAGAAACAAGCACGGACTTTATCCGAGCCAGTGAGACGCAGGCGCTTCGCGCTAAACGGAACTGATGAATCATGCCGTTCGATTGATCACTCCAACTGTGGGGTCGGCACATGAAGACATCACCAACACGCATCATAAGCCGCGAAAAATGCTTGACGACGCGGAACCCCAATTGGTCCACTCTCTTTTTGCAATTACGCGGCCACCTGCACTGAGTTGCCTCACCGATGGAGGGCAAATGGATAAGACTTCCGAAAAAGACACTGAAGCAATAAAAATCTGATGTAAATTAAACACATGGCCTAAGCTGATTTCTTGCTTTTGTCCAAATTGTGGTAATTAACACCAAAAACTTTAGTTCAACAAAGCTCGTCATGTTCGTGTTCGTGTTCGTCACCATTTTGGCGTTTGGTTGAACTTGGCCGATTTTTTCTCGGGTTAGTCGGTAGAATTCATCAAAAGTAGCAAGCGAGACGCCGTACAGTCTGCAAATACCATCTCTGGCTTAGATTTGTCGGAGTACTTTCAATTTGGAACGATTCACGCTCAGCACTTTGGCATTTGAAGACCTCTGAAAAGATTTGTAGCCATGCACAACAAATATAAGGCGGCGAATAACAACCAAACTAGTGTAGTACGAAGGTTAGACAAGATTAATTTATTTAAATTGGCGTTAAAATTGATTAATGCGAACGATTGTATCGAATATAAAAGTATACATTTTATAATGCAATAAACGAAACGAGGCCATTGCTGGAGAGGGACCGAAGATTACAAGAATAAATGAAAAGTGGCAAATTGGTATAATATATAAAAGAATGTAAATATTAATGGATCTTGGATGGTTTAATGACACTCTAATCACAGCGACAACTACAGAATCAATTCGACAACCACTCTATTATATTAAATTTTAGCGTTTTGCACATAACACCGCAAAATAATATAATAGTTAAAAGAATAATCATTTTTATCAAACATCTCCTCAAAGGTTCTATGGTTTCTTTAAACCATATTTTTGCAACATGCAAAGTCTAGTTAACATTTTGAACAACTCAACCAAGCTTCTCTATGACTACAGGGTATTGAAATGAGAAATAGGTGTTGCAGTTCTTTTGGCAAGTCATTGCTTCAACAAACTTACAAATATACAGACTAACAACAAATCACCAAGCTTTTCAGGTTTATGCAAACGCCAAGAATTAGATATTGTGGGCAAAGCTCCAACTCTGGTTGCATTTAGCTGCCACTGTTAATAGCTGCACATCACCTGCAGACAGTCGAGTAGCTGTATAAGCTGAAAACAGGTCCAAGATCAGCGCGTAATCGGAAAAAAGCACGCAAAAGCAACCAAAAAAAAACCCGAAACCGTAGCAAAAACAAACTGCAATAAAACCGTTCAACCGCATTAAAAATCACCATAATACACCAGTGCATATTTTCGATTTTGCTTTCGGTTTCTGTTCGTGCCTCTGCCGTCAATTAGCCATGAAATGTATTTGGCGCGCTTTTTCAAGCACTCTAAAAACCCACTCATCTGCTCGTACACGTATCTCGCGGCACCTAATGCGCAAGTGTATGCTATTAACTTAATGCGCCCTATGAATATCTATGTTTTTGAATGTTTCTGCAACCGGTTCTATCGATATTTCCGCAAGGATATAAGAAATATTAGCTCTGTGATCGCATCTGTCATGTGTAAGTGGCTAGGTCAGTTTTCATACATACTTGTACGCATATATGAACATGAGCTGTGAAATGTGGTTTTTGCCATTCATAAAGTTGAGTCACTGCATTGGCGAATGAAGAAGATTGTATTAACTGTTTCTTGCGTTGTTGGCAAGTGTGTCAAATCAGGTCATTTGGATACTAATCACAACGTTTTTCTTACTCATGTGTAGCTTTGATTCGTGTGGTATAGACACATAATCGTTGATCAGGCCAGAGCTGGTACAACTTCTAAATCATACACTATATAGTATGTATTTAGAAATGTTATTTATCTACATACTAAATATTTACTACAAGGTTTTCGAACTTAAATGTTCCATTTATGTAGGTAGACAAAGGAAACTTGTTCTTTGCCAAGAACTAAATAGAAAAGGCTCACATTTATTGTTTAACAAAGCCCAGAAACAGATTTACTGACCACACCGAATAGTCTATTGAATTAAATGGTAATTTAATTCTGGATATCTATGTATATTCTTTTATTTTATCATTTTTTTTATCGCAATTTTCTCTAATTTCTCTCTGGTAACATACACAGAGTAAGCTGCGCTTTCAAGTTCGTTTCTTAAGTCTTTCGTGTTATCGAAGCAACATTTGTTTTGCGTTATTTTCAAATTTTACAAAACTGCATACCAACACCAAAAACGTACCATTTAAATTAAGTCGCATATGAACATGTTTGTGTGGGTGTGTTTTTGTATATCATTAATGAGAAAAACTTTAAATAAAATCGAAAAGTTATTACTCACTTGCCGCCTGCATGATCAAAAAACCAATTACGAAAAAATTCATTTTCGCTAATTTTGCAGCGTTTGCGTGTTATTTCCAAGTCGGAAGGAACGTTGTTGATTTTCGAATTCGTAGAGCGTAAAATTTTGAAATTTTCTACATTTATTTTGGAGCTATGAATAAATACAAAATATGCCTTCACACGCGCACTGAAGACGAAAAGCTTCTTCAGTAAAGTCAACGTCCACAATTTTCGGCTGTTCGGAATGAAAACAAGTGAAAAAAAATGTGAACAGAAAACAAGTAAAAACAAAAACAACAACATTAACATAATAAACGTTTATATGTTACAAAATAATGTGATGTGCTGAGCAAAGATGCACATTAAATCGGAAGTAGTTGATTTAATTAAATTTAATGAACTTATTATTTTTCTCGTTTTGTGAGAAAGCTAAGCAGCTAAGCAAACAAACAGATATTGTTGTTAAAAAAAATGCGCGTAAATTGGAAACCGGTAAGGCATAAACGCAAATGAGCAGCACAAACACTCTCTCTTTCTGTTTGAAGTAAAAGTGGAAGTGCGGAGGCCGCGCAGCGAAACGACGACCGTAACACGCCCGCTAAATTAGAGAAGTAGAGGCGGTCACTGCTGGATGTTTGGACCAGCCTGCAATATGGATTGAAATTTTCATAGATATATGTCAATTATGTATGAATATTTGCCGAAAACGCATATTTTTATTTTTGTGGAAATCCATTTTTGCGCTTGCCGAACCGAGTAGTGTGCGCACTTTCCAATCGGCTTGTTGGCCACTCCATAATTTGCTTGGTTGTTATTTGTTGCCGTTGCTATTGTCATTGTCGACACGCGCGCACACTCTACACAACAGTGGGCTACCGAGCCCCCCACCCGATGCCACGCCCACAAAAACTAAACGCCATCTCAGCCAGCACGTCTACCTGCCGCCGTCACCGCTTTGTGCCACAAAATGCGGCGCAGCCGTTCTGCGTTTAAAACTTTGGAGCGTTAAAGTAAAGAAACAGATAAAATCTGGTAAAAGTTGTTTTCGATACGCTTTTATTTCGTTTATTACTTCTGTGTTAATTTTTGGTTTCGTTATCAACTTCACTGTATTTTGTTAATCAGTTTTGGCATTTACTTTGTCAATTATGGTTGATAATTGCATTCAATATAAATTGTAAATTATGTTTTTCATTATCACAACGATTTAACTATTAGTTTCAACATTTTTCACATTCACACTTTGCAAATATTTCATGTTTTTTATTATTTAAATATAGATTAGATAGCTCCTTGCGATTGAGCGGTGCGCGCCTTATATCGTAAGTATTTTACCCAACAGAAACGAATGCACGCACGAAGAGTACGAAACCTGCTGCTTGAACGTGTTGCGAGCAACTGAAGCCGATTCGCCGCCAGCCGCCTTGGTTTCTTAGTACGATTTCGAAAGTAACAACGGCGGCGCCAACAGCAACATACTCGCTCTCTATACATGCGCACACGCTTTTCAACACTGCTGATTTATTTTGGCACATGCTCTTTAACTGTTCAATACCACCTCGTTTTGGCACTCCAAACAACAACCAAGGAAATTGGCAAATAGACGTTAGATACATTTTTAGCTGGCACTTAAATTCTTGGAGCTTTAAAAAGTAGCTTTTGGCTTAACGCCTAGGCAATCCGCTTTGATAGCACTCAAAGCGTGCTTAATCGCAATTTCATAGTTTTTGTCACATTACTCAGTCGTGGTCGTGACGATGATGTAGTTGGGTAATGCTAATGTTCAATAGATGCACCAGGTACCAGTTTTGGATAACAAATATTTACATGTTAGTAAACCCCTAATGAACTTAAAAGAATTGATTGCTTTCTTAGGCACATTTACTGTGTGCTTTTTCTGCGTAAGCACGACTACTGCAAAGGTTCAAGAGAAATCATATGCTATATCGATAACAGCTCTTAGAAGCCTTCTAGATGTTGAGGACAAGCTGATCGAAAATTTAGGCGACTATGTGGCAAAGCTAAAGGATGATCACAATGTGGTCCAACAGTCTGTGAATTTTATCAACCCTATGTTCATTTTCTAAAATGTAATCCTTTCTTTTAGAGCAATATCCTTTTTACGAGCTAAGCATCATTTAATGAATGATGATTATGAGAAATACCTCGGCAACCCACTCAATGCGTTCGCACTCATCCGACGCTTACATACAGATTGGAATAAATGGGCATCCTTTATATATAGGGAGGAATCAGATGGTTATTTTAAAAGTTTGTTTTATGGTCAAAAATGGATAATAAAATCTTATACCTTAAATAGCACAAATCAAAATTGCCGAGCACATGCGAAACCAACTGCCCACCGCTAAAGATCTGAGAGATGCCTCCCTTGCGATTACCACCCTGCAAACCTATTATAACCTGAAACCTTCAGACCTGTCCGCTGGCTTGATAGCTGGCCATTCAGACCCAAAGTTTGTACCTCAAAGCTTCGAACACTAATATAATTATAACATATAAATATCTCTAGCATCAGACTTGCGGCTATGGATTGTTTTGCACTCGGAAAATTTGCAAAGGCTAACCGGATGAGTGACATCGCCGAAGATTGGCTCAACACGGCACTAGCGGTATACGATAATGCTCACCAAAAGCTGTACGAAATGTTCGCGTTCAACTTATCCAGCATAAAAACATATTTGGGAGAATTGCTGATTCAGCGTAACAAAATAGACGATGGCCTATTAAACTCCACCAGGGATCCACTTAGTCTCGAAACCCCATCACAAGAGCAGTACTACGGAAAAATTGTGTCCATCAAAAAAGCTTGCCGCGCCCCTTTTATCCGTCCCATCCATCTTCACTGCCGCTACAACACCACGACAACTCCATTTCTTCGGATCGCGCCATTAAAAATGGAAGAGCTAAGTAGCGATCCCTACATAGTAATGTTTCACGATGTCGTCTACCAGAGCGAAATTGTCCAGATACTCAGTAAAGCATCTGGTCTATTGCCTTCATTAGTGGGAGATAACCAGAATAGTCCTCAACGCTCATCTCAAGATTTAAGTTATCCTTCTGATGAAATTAACGCAACCGTTCGTATTCATAAACGATTAACCGACATGTCTGGACTTAGCATGATAGGTAGCGATGATCTGTCATTAGTTCACTATGGTATAGGTGGCCATTATCACTTGCACTGGGATTTCCAGAATGTAACCACAGAGGTAAAATAAAACTGAACAACAAATTCATGTAGAAAGTAACACTTTTAAAACTACATTCCAGTATATGAGTGAGAATGGAGATCGCATAGCCACTGTACTATTCTTCGTAAGTGAATGCATACAATATCTGTCTGTAATGCGTCTAGCTGTTTGCTTCTCTTGAAGTTGGGAGATGTAGACCAAGGAGGCGCTACTATCTTTCCAAGACTTAATCTAACTATCACACCAGAGAAGGGCTCAGCAGTTTTGTGGTATAACATAAAAAATGATGGTGAAGTCGATACTAGAATGTTCCACGCTGCTTGTCCTGTAATTGTTGGCTCTAAATATGGTGAGAAACTTGCTTTACAATATCAGCCGGTCAATTATTTTAAAATACATCGATCTTTCAGTGCTTACAAAATGGATTACGGAACGCGCTCAAATGTTCAATTTGCCATGCCACAGGATTGTATAGCTCGAAATTTACCATTTCACAATGATTAAAAGATTGCAACATACCTATATAATGGGCCACTTTACTTTTTTCAGAATGCCATTCGGATCGCAATACTTTACTAGTTTCCTGGCACTTTTCCAAGTAATATAAAGCCCCTCTTGAATAATTCATGTGTAGACATCTAAAGTGGCATCAGTTTAATGCTTTGAATCAGAACCGCGAAGGACTTTAATTTAATCATAACAATTAATAAAGTTAACTTAATTAATACGACTTAATCGGCTATTGATAGTTAAATAGAAGGAAAAAAGTAAACTTATGTCTTCTCGGGATAAGAAGAATCTACATACCAATTTTGGGCAATATGGGCCAGTCGTTTCACCCAGACAGGCGGGCGGACAGTTGGACATGGCTATATCAATTTCACTCGTCAAGCTTTGGCCTCAAGTTTCTTGGGTAGTACGTATCTAGCGGAGCGGAGTCGAGTGTCAGCACTGTCAGAGCTGGAATTCCATACTGTAGTATCTTTACGCCTACCTAATGGCCACTGCGATCTTCATCGTTTGATGATCCAAAGGATCTGCTCATGACTATTCCGGCGCCGGAATGTGGGCGAAGCTCCGGAAGATTGTGATTACCGCAAAGAAGTGCGCCACAACATGCGAACGTGGTTCTGGCGCGCCTTGCAGGGCCACATTTTAGAGTAAATCAACAAGTACAAATACTTGGGCGCCCACCCGACTTAGATTTTAAAAACCATATATCCAACGGCAACGGACACCTTAGTCCCAGGAAATACCCATTTCAGTAACGTCTTGAGAGCAAGGAATTGACCCATCCCAATGGCCAATGACCAGATCCACTCTGTACGAACGACCATCAAGACCAACTGTAAGCCCCCATAACTTGACCTCGCTTTTGAACTGTGACACCATGCAAGACCTGTGTGAACTGGTTGTGAATTATAGTGTCACAGTTGTGAAAAATTTTATTTATTTAAAATTAATTTCTTTTAATTTGATTTAGTTTAGCTAAATTTATTTTCATTTAATTTTTAAATTTTAATATATTCAAAATTTATTTTTTAGGTTTGCGTTTTGAAATTTGTTTTTTTAAGTTTGTGCTTTTAGGTTTTTTTTAAAGTTATCTTAATTAAGTTTATTAAATTAAATTTTTTTTTAATTTAACATAAAAAACAAGAATGTAATCGGACAACTCCAACTCCTAAATAGCCTGTACTCAATTCAATTAGTTTAATTTTCTAAATTTAATTAATTAATTTAATTTAATTATGCTTCATAATTGGTGATGCGCCTATGTCCATTTATGTCTCTGCATGTGTCTGTCTTTGCGTGAGTATGTGTACGGTACAGAATTGACTCAAAACAGGAATAACAACCGCTAAGGGCAGAGCTTTTGTAATCTCTGTCCAGTTATAACTTTCTTTAACATTGACCTATCGGATAATACATGACATCCGGACCCATAAGCACTAACCGGATGTAATTGCCAAATTTGATAGCAAGTTAAAATAGTCCAGCTCTTATTCTTTCAGAGGTCCTTGCGTTCATAAGGACAGATAGATGGGCATGGATATATCGATTGGTCTTGTCACGCTGATCAAGAATGTATGTACATATATACTTTGGAGAGTCTGCCACCTTTTCTGCTATGTCTTACATAGATTCGCATTAAACTATAGTACAATACCCTGAAATTGAAATTCTGCTGATTAATTTATTATAAAACGGATTCCTTTAATATCACGAAAGCTGTTTTCATAATGATTTACATATAACCACCATCCGCTAACTCCAGATTTAACTAGGTGGGAGAAACTTTAGTGCGATATAATATAACTGCATAATGAGCGCCCTCTTCTGACGTCAACTGATCAATAAATTTATCCTGTATAAAACGATGGTTGTCAGTGTTTAAATTCTCCTCCACATAGGCAAAATGCAGTACTGCGTTGGGAACAAAGTTTAACTCTAACAGCGTTTCCTCAGCGGGCAAAACCTTTTTTGGCGGTATAGTGAAGAGTTGAAACCGCTCTACTGGGTTCGCTAGAAACTCACGCACCCAGGAAACAACTCTTTCAAGCTGTTCGTAGGGCTTAAAGATGCCCTGCAAAACGAAACGGTCGGGAAACTGGATGCGCAGCACACAATCCTTGTATTGATTTAACTTGGTCAACATGGTCTTTTGCCGCTCAAGTTCGCGCAACTTGGCCGTTAACAACGGTGCGTCCTCGTTCCCTGATGAGGTGCGTTTAAGGTCACGCAGAACCATTTTTAAATCATTAACTGTCAAATCGAAGAATGAATCGGGCAGTTCATCGCTTTGCTTTTTTGATGCATCTAGAGAGAAGAGAACCGCATGACGCGGGCCAATTACGTTTACCTCAGGTGGTGCTTGATCCGAGACTTCCTCCTGGTCATCGTCCAGCTCAGACTGTTTCGGCTGATGCATCGAGTAACCTGAGCCACTACCCCAGTCAGCTTTAGGCCGCTCCGGCTCATCCACCGATTCGTTTTTTTGATTATCATTAGTATTAGGATCAACGGCGCTATTGCCTTCCGGTGCTGTTCGTTTGAGGGACTTCACCATGTTACTTGTGAGCGCAAAGCCACCCCCGCCTCCCATGACCGATCTAGACGTACTGGGTTGGTCGTCATCTACCCTTGGCTTCGACTCTACTACAGGAGGTTTGTACACGTTCGCCTGAACTCTCAGTTCCTCCGGTTTCTTATCAATTAGTCGCATCATGACGCGGCCTTCCAATATTCCCAGCGATTTAAGTGTTGTTTGCTGCATCTGTTCTTTGCCAATCACCTCGCTTCGCATGTAAATGATAACAGGACTCTCATATGAGTCCATCTGTGCACTGCACAGATTCAATACCACCTGCCATAAAGTACTCCCTGGACCGAACTCCCCTTGCTCACGCGAACCATCGCTCAGTTGTATGCAAACGACGACATTTCCCACGGTGCGTCGCTTTTCAGTGGGCTCCATTTCTAGCACACAGTTGTTTGGCAGACCACTGAAACGAAACTGCTGAGTCAGGCTTACTTCCTTATTGTGAAATTTTAGACAGTGTTCTTCACTATCGAAACCATGTTTCGCGCTAGCTGTTTCCAAGATCTCCAGCAGAGTCATGTTAGGAGAGACATTCACATTTTGACGGCGGCCATTAGGCAGCAGCACCGTTACGCGCTTATCCATCCTTATCCTTCAAACGCCCAATGAAATTAAATTAAACAATGTTACGTATAAAATGTGCCAAAACATACCAAGCGCCTGCTTTTTGCCGGTCACTGTTGCTCAAACAAATTTACTTACTATCGAAATAAACTAGTACTTAATCGACGGTTCATCGTCTTTCCAATTGCGATCGCAATTTTTTGTCACCATATTTCAGTTGAGGAACGTCACCTTTCAAAAATGAACAAATAAAACACATTACTGATAAAAATCGGTTAATTAAATACTTCCTAGAATACTTCGACTTGATAAATGTATGAATTGTCTCGAAAACCAAATAAAAATTTCACATCACTAAATTGAACGGCACAGCACTATGGATCTGGTTCAAAATAGAACCAAAACACGAATACTGAATGCGCGAGGGGCGCTTGTGATAACAACAGGTGACGACTAATTAATAGCCCGGTTTGCATTTTAGCGTAAACAATATGTACGCTTTTATTTTACGAAATGTCGGGGTGGGCGTGCCAGCAAGGTAAACAGCAACTGCAATGGATGTTTTGGAATTATGCTACTTTGCCACATAAAATAATTCCGTTCGTCAGTAGCAGCCACTGATGTTACATAAACAATTTCTGCTTCGCAGGTTTTTCGCCACTGCAGCTAAGGAAAGGGCCGTTCCAATAGTGCGACCGATAAACAAAATTTTAATTGCGAACCGCGGAGAGATCGCTTGTCGTGTAATTCGCACCGCCCGTAAGCTTGGAGTTCGCACCGTAGCAGTGTACTCAGATCCTGACGAGCATGCGCTTCATACGCTTCAGGCGGATGAAGCCTACCGCGTTGGCGAAGCAGCGTCGGCTTCATCGTACTTGCGCGGGGACCGAATTCTGGAGATCGCCAAACGGTCTGGTGCCCAAGCAATACACCCCGGCTATGGTTTTCTTTCGGAATCGGTGGAGTTTGCTAAACTATGCCAAGAGGAAGGCATAGTTTTTATGGGGCCACCCAGCTCTGCCATTCGAGACATGGGCATAAAAAGCACCAGCAAGGCTATCATGGCAGCAGCCGGTGTGCCCATTATTAATGGCTATCACGGCGAAGATCAGTCGGATGAGTGCCTGAAGGCTGAAGCGCAAAAAATCGGTTTTCCACTTATGATTAAAGCCGTCCGAGGTGGTGGTGGAAAAGGCATGCGGATTGCCGAAAATCCTGAAGACTTCATTACAGCGTTGAACTCCGCACGTACCGAATCACAAAAATCCTTTGGCGACAGTTCGGTTTTGTTGGAGCGCTACGTTCGCTCGCCTCGACACGTGGAAGTGCAAGTATTTGCTGATCAGTATGGCGATGCCGTCTATCTGTGGGAGCGCGATTGTTCGGTGCAGCGGCGCCATCAGAAAGTAATCGAAGAAGCGCCAGCGGTGAGTAAATTGACATTTTTTGGGACACACACTCTTCAGCATTTCGGGTTTTTTTTGCAGCCCGGCTTGTCAGAGGACTTGCGTCGCGAATTGGGAGAAGCTGCCGTTCGTGCGGCCAAAGCAGTGGGTTATGTCGGAGCGGGCACCGTTGAGTTCATACTTGACAAAGAAGACTTGTCGTTCCACTTCATGGAAATGAATACGCGCCTGCAAGTGGAGCACCCCATCTCCGAAATGATAACTGGCACGGATTTGGTTGAGTGGCAGATTCGCATTGCTGCGGGTGAGCCGCTACCGCTTACTCAAGCTCAAATAACACGCAACGGACACGCTTTCGAGGCTCGGATCTATGCTGAGAATCCAAGAGGTGGCTTTCTTCCCGGAGCAGGACCTCTGCGCTATCTGGCTACACCTCTGCCCAGCCCGGAGGTGCGCATAGAGACTGGCGTTCGCGAAGGCGATGAAGTGTCCATTCATTACGATCCAATGATTGCCAAACTAGTGGTATGGGGTGAAAATCGCACTCAAGCGCTCAACTCATTAATTGCGCGCCTCCGTGAATACAATGTGAGTCGGTAATTTAATACTCATTGGGGCATCTAAATAAGGTCCGCGATATTACAGATTGCTGGTCTCGAAACAAACATAAACTTCCTTATTGATTTAGCCGCGCATCCCGAATTTCAACGGGGCAACGTGCACACGGGTTTTATTGACGAGCATTTCGATACACTCTTCCCACCTATTGCCGTTACATCTCAGCAGTTGAGTCAAGCAGCTCTGGCTTTGGTGTTCAATGAAATAGAGGTTGCCAACAGTAATGCTATGAATAAGCAGGATCCCTTCGCTGACGCTCAGAATGCGCGCATTAATTACTCATTGATTCGCACTTACACCCTAAAGGCTAGCGACAAAGGTACAAATCGGGAGTCATTTATTATATATTTCATAAATGAAATCTCCTCCTTTTTAAGTACACATCGTTGAAGTAAAATATGATAACGACGCCATGCAAATACGGGTAGACAAATGTGCATGGCAAGTGGTGAAGGCTACGCGCGTGCAGGACGGCACTCGTTTAAAAATACGTGCCAACATCGATAATGATATTTCAACGTTTAATGCCAACATCGACGGTGAAAGCATTTCACTATTTCTAGAGGTAATTCGGTTTTGACTGAACTGGTTATAAATTCAAAATAACCTTCACTTTTCAATGCAGCAAGGTAAATTAGATTTTGAGCTTGCTCAGCCCAAGTTCCTCAGTGCACAGAACGATTCACTAGGTGGCGGCGGCTCCAAAGTCATAGCACCTATGCCGGGTGTGTTGGAGAAAGTCCTGGTAAAGCCAGGAGATAAGGTCAAAAAGGGCGACAGTCTGGCCGTGCTAATTGGTAAATTACTTAGCGCATACATAAGTATATCATAAATCATATCTTAACCTCATATTTCCTAGCTATGAAAATGGAGCACATTCTGAAGGCACCCAAAGATGCGATCATCAAATCTATAGGCGGCGCCGAGGGAGACAATGTGGCCAAAGGTGCAGCTGTAATAACATTCGAAGACGAAGATCCGACTCCCCCCTAGACCTGAGCCAATGTCCTCACGTACCAGAGATATGCATTTATTTACATAAAGAATTGAATTCCTTTTTTATGTTTTGTTGATTTGTTAAGTTTGTTGGGTCTGATTAGCATATGTTATTGTAATTGTAATGCCATATAATTGGCTATTGATGTACCTTGGGCTTTACCGTAATAAAATTACATATGCATTTCCATAATTTTATTTCTGGAATTTGTTAATTCCCCTTTTCACCAAATAGCAAAAACAAACGGCGATAAAGCAGAAAATCGTTGCAGAGCCAACCATCTTAAACAGGATGAGACTTTAGTAAAATTCAAATTGAGTTCTTTTGATCATTCATTATATTTATAAAGCGCAATTTTTTATGATTACTTTTTTATTGATTTGTATATATGTATAACAGAATTTAATTAATTTAAAAAATTCTGTTTCTTTGTATTATTAACCTCATTTTTTTTTATTAATGTGTTATTATAAACTTTTTCTTTTCGCGCACACACTTTAGAATATGCTATATTTTTGTAAATACAGAAGTTGAAATTACAAATTTGTATGTAATTTTCAGTAAGGTTGCAGGAATTTTTGGGACTCGTTTGTTTATATTGTTGTTGCATATGTAAAAAACGTCAAGGATCTGGCGCTGTTTGCTTTCTTTTTGCATTTATTTTGCAACTTAAAACATAATAATTTAATAAATGTTTAACAAATTTCACTTAATACAAAACACTAATTAATTAAAATATATAAAGTATAAACATAATTATCAAGTTTTCGTTCTGATTTTATTAGTCCGTTTTATATATTATCTTTCGCTTTCTATACTGTTCTACTGCTGCTAAAGCCTTCCATTAAATCTGACTCGCATGCATCCGGGCAACCTGATTAAAAATAGTTTTGAAAACACCTGAAGCAGCAACTGTGCAACATTTACGGTATTGTTACTTAATCCTGTAGTCTGTGGTTTTTGCAAATACATTTTTGAGCAGCTCCTGTGGTCTTGCCTTTTCTGTTCTTGTAACTTTGCTGCTTACAATGCCCATTACATTAAATATATAGAATATAGAGCAAATTATATGGTACGATCAACGTGAAACTTAAGGCGTTTCGGTATTTGTGTATACATATTAGGAAATTTGAAGCTACAATTGTTCAACACTTTTGTTGGTACGTGCATAACCATCACTCTGCTTCTTAGTTACAGTTTTCGAATACATGCTTTAATTTACGAACATCCTTTGTTGTTTATACATAATTTCTTTCTTTTGATTAACCCATTCAAGTCTCATTTTTCTTCTTTTTTTTCTGGGCAGGAGCTCATATTTAGCTCTATGGATGATCATATTGCGTTCCATCTTATTGTTGCGATTACAGTTTATTTAGAAAATCATTCATTGTTAATGTTTATGTTAAATTAAGTTTTCTCCACTCATCCAATAGCTCAGTCGATCCCGTTGTTGTTGCTGTTGCTGATGTTGTTGTTGTTGTGGTTGGCTCTGTTGATGTGGCAGTTGTTGTTGCCGCTGTTACTGTTGCTGCTGTTGCAATGATCGCTGTTGAGTCTGCTGTGGGCGTTGTTGTTGCTGTTGTTGTTACTGTTGTCGCTGTTGCAGTTGCAATTGTACTCTCTCCTTTACTAGGCGTCCTATGTAATCGATTTATCCTGCGATATTCCTGTGAATGCAAACGAAAACGGAACACTGAATAGTACCGGGAGCAGTAGTACCAACGACTAATCTAAGTTCTGAAGAGTATAAAATAACTGAAGTATCACCAGCAAGCTTTCAAAAGCTACAACGTCAGTGTGTGCCCGTAATTAATGATTATGTTCAATGCATGAAACATGAGTTGTGTGCGTGTGAGGCGTTTATTTACATATCATAATATTAATGATGTTATCAATGGCTGCTTTCGACAGCAGACTTGCGTACAAAGCAGTCCTGATAACAAATATTTATCTATGGAACTGGAAGCATTTAAACATCGTTAAGCCTTTTGGAAGCTGACCATTGTCGTTTTTAAAGAAAATTAAGTGTCAAATTGCAGTCAAATTGTGTTTGTAAGCGTGCATCTATGCCAATTTTAGGAATCTACCAGCAAACATATTCAAAAAAGCCGATTTGGATTGTGAAGAACAGCGCTAACTAAAGTTGGCGGCAAATGAAATTAGACGATTTGCAGAAGTTAGTATATCTTTGAACACCACCTTGTCGATGCTTTTGTTGTTGCTGTTGTTGTTGTTGATGTGACTGTAGTGGATGTGGTTGTTGCTGTTTTTGTAGCTGTTGCGATTGGAGCTGTTTTAGTGACGGCATTACCAGCTCGGCTGGCAATAGGTGGTGATGCAACGCAGGCGGCAATTTAGTTCCCTTGCCTCGAACTCGCCCCTGCCCCTGAATCTGCCAAGCACAAATTCAAAGAGCGACAGGATAAAAATAACAAAAGAAACACGCAAAGAATATGGGTAGACAGTAGAGGGGATAGTGAAAAAAGAAACCACAGAAAGCAAATTAGAAATCAACAAGTCGAGAGAATACATTTTCAAGTACAAGTACTTTGCTATTAATACCTACATCGATTTAAGCATCAGCACATGTTACAACTTTTCGTAACCTGTACACCATTTCTGAATTTATGTTTGCTTTAAAATTGTGAGTTCGAAGTACTAAAATCCGCTTTCGTTTTGCTGTGAACTCACGATTATGGGTCTTCTATACACCTATTTTGTCTAATCTATTCATAAAATCTAATTACCGTTTTCCTTGAGATTTCAAGGTGATCCAGACTATTCGTAAGGCCGTTTATATTAGACTCAACGGTCGAATCCTGAGCACTACTCTCCGTCTCACTATTGGCGCCACTCCCACTGGACGGAGCTGCGGAGCCACCTACATTGGTGGGATTTGGAGTTACGCTAATCGTCGTACCCGTCGTATGGTGCGTGGTGTATGCCCCAAACAATTGTCGCGATAGGCGTGGTATAGCATTACTATCAGTTCGGGCTGGCCAGCCACCAGCAGATTGGGAGACGCCAGTCGTCACTAACTTGTTGTTCTGCCCCTGCTCGAGCGTACTTTCATTCACTGCCTGTGTTTGTTGCTGTTGTTGCTGGGACTGTTGTGGTTGATGCTCCTGTTTGTTGTCGTCGTTCGACTCTAGGTCTGATTCGTTGTTTTCCTCCTGATCCTACAACATAAAATAGCAAAGCATGAGTAATATTTTAAATAGGTTTAAAGAGTTGTTTTCGTAGGCACCGTTTTCTCGCTCACCTCCTCCGGGCACAGTTCGTAAGCCATAGACCACGTATTCTTTGCGGACTGCGAGCGCTCCAGCATGTACCCATTGGTGTTGTCATTGCTCTGCGCTGGCGGTGACCACGAATATGAATTGTACTGACAACCTATGCCACGCTGCCGCTCCAGCTCGTCCTGTAGCCATTCCACGGCAATGGTCCAGTGACGCGTTATGGTCGGATTTGAGTTCAGCATTTGCAGTGCAATCGGTGACTTGTGGAAGAGCTGTGTAAGGCATTTGATGATCTGATAGGCACGCTTCTGATAATGTGTCTTGGCGCGCTGTATCGTCTCCAGCAGTCCCTCACGCTCTTCAGCGACTCCATTGAGGGCATTGTGTATGCGATGATGCTGCCACGAGTCCTCAATCAACAGTATGTTCAGAAGCAGATCGGTATGATGCCGCATATCGTGGCAGTAAGCGAACCCACATTGCCACAAAAGTTCCGTGAGCACTGCTCTCGAAAAATGCGGGTTTTCCCAACTGCAGTACTGCAGCAACTTCAGACCCTCGTCCCCCACATTTGTGTCCTCAATGACTTTTTTTATATAACTGCCAAATAAAAACAATTCTTACAATTTATTCGGAAAATATCTAGTTTTGAGCTTACCCGGTCCGATTGAACAGTATGTCCATGCACTCCGTGGATAGAGGTGTTAAGTCTTCCTGGCTAATAGCCGCATCCTTGAAGGGATTGGGCAAAGGCCGAGCATTTTGATTGGAACTCTGGCACTTGTCGCTCACATCGCTACAGCGCACGAGGTGCGAGACTACCTGATGCAGCTTGCTAAACTCAGGATATTGGTACTTTATCGAGGGGCCAGGTCCATCGTCCAAAGCAACTTGCATAAATTGTACCGGAACGTTTAGCTGGAAAATACATAACAATTAAGTGAGTAATGTGTTTGGTATAACACTTCAAAAATTAGTTACTTTTACTTCTAATGATATACTAGACTAATGTTCAAGTTTGTTCAAAAATTGTCAGCAAGAACATTAATAATTTAATACATATCGCTATAATTTTATTATACTTCTATTATTTACGCAAATGTTGTAAGGCATGCTTCTTTATATTTGATTGGAAACTTTTCGTCTGAATTTTATTTATAAACTTGAACCTTTTTAATGGTATAAACGGTATTTCCAATTATGAACGAGTGTTTGGGCACCATTTATGCCAAAACCAGTATACTGTTCACTAATTTGAAGGGTATTGTATAAGCGATTGATTGTCTCTGTAACACAGAGTTTTAGAATAACCAATAAACTGGAGATTAATCGGGTCGCCGGTAAATTGTAAATTTGTATATGAAAGTATGAAGTAAAGTATAAAGTGCGAGCCGCAGCGCTTACGTAATGAAATTATTGATAATGATAGAATCACAACATGCATTGCTTTGATAAGCAATGATTGCTATTCACCTTCAGAAGCTGCTGCTTTTCCCGCGTGCCCAGTCCAACGTACATGCTAAACAGACTGAAGTAGTGTGGCAAATGCTTTCCATAGTCGGCAGCCTCAGATTTCAGCAAACGCAACACGTTGATGAGCACCTGTTCACACAGATTGGTGCCTTCATAACCAACTAGTGGCTCGTCATTGATGGCAAAGTGGCAGAAGAAGACTACCAGTTTGACAAACACGGTTCGCACCTCTGGGGAGGGTGCCATCAATATGTACTCGCCCAAGCGCGTTGGTGGCGAGAGCAACGCATGGTTGGCGAACCATTTACGCACCAATGATGAAGAACGTATGTGATGTGAGAGGGTGTCGTACCTGTTTATAATATATGGTGTTAGCATTGTGATGTAAAACGCCGAAAAGAACATCTACACTTACCATTCAATAACGGGACCACGCAGCGATTTCTTCGTGCGGAAACCGGTGTGGAAAAGGAACTGCGAAGCCAATTGCACGCCCAGTAACGAAAGCTCTTCAGCAGCAGGTGTCTGAAAGGAAAAATTAAATAATAAAGCGATTTCAAAGGTCGACTATTAAGTATGCTCACAATTTTTTCACTGCGCGTTGACGGAATACTGCAGCTGACCAGCTTTTTGATGAAATTGAAAAACTCCACCGAGAAAATACTACGCGAATGCAGGAAGCGTATATTTTGATGTCTGAAAAGAGCCAAAGCAAAAAATCATTTACATTTTTTAAAATAAACTGCCAGTCCTAAGACTAATATTTGTTATTAATAAGATTCCAATTGTTTCCATTTAATAAAGCTTCAAAGCTGTTTTCATTTATATAATATATTTATTCAAGTAAAGTCTGCATCATAATCACAAATCGACAATCATTAAGTCAGTCGTTTTTCGAAAAGCTCCAAACAAAAATACCAACCAAAAACAATTCTTACGTGCAGTATTTGGTTCTATTACAAGCAATTCGTACCTGCCTAAAAAAATAAAATAAACTCGTATAGCGTACACACATAAAATTTGGTGTCTTTAGCTCTTAGTCTCTGAGATCTAGGTGATCACACAGACGGACAGACAGGGCTAGATCGACTCGTCTTGTCATGCTTATCAAGAATATATATTCTTTGTGGGGCCTGCCACGCCTCTTTCTGCCTGTTACATTTTTCAGCTCGCGCAAACCTAATATACTTTTGTACATTTCATGTACAGAGTATAAATACCGACAATTTGCGGTTATACTCTTTTTGGTAAACGAATAAATATACTCTGCAGGCTGTCAGCAATCCGTTTATACAAGTACATACATACAGTGGTATGGGTACAATTTGTGATTATGAGTATTTATATAATAGTTACTATATTAAGCTTGTCTTGAACTACTAGATATATGTGCATTTATATATATTAACAGGTTTACTTACCTTACACTACGTTCGATGGGCTTTGGCAGGGGCAACACCATGTTACGGCTCTCCGTTAACGACAACTGCTCGACACTGGGGTCGAATTGTACAGGGTTTTGGTCACAGCGCGTATAAAAGAGCATGTAGGCATTCCACCAGCGCTTTTGGCGTCGATATTGCATACGTTTTAAGTTGTTATCATAGATTTCACCCATGTAATCGCCTCCAAAGCACTGAGCCTTCATCTCCTCATCCTCGTGCATTTTACACTCGGTTACCTCGCCATCATCGAATTTATACCACTGGCACTTGCCATTTGCTGGATTCCTGAAAGAGTCCGAGAAAATTATATGTAGAAAATATAATATAATTTATATCATTTGATTAACTTACTTTGAGAGTATGTAGCTGAAATAATGGCCACCAGAGGCCTGCCCGCTGTGCACCACAATGCCGGTTAGTTCGTATTTTGTTGTTTCAACATTTGTTTGACAATTATCACCTATTTCCACTACTTCGCCCTCCAGCTTAGCTAGGCCAGAAACTGAAGCGAGAAATTGGCGTAAATTAAGATAGCAATGGAATTATAGGAATTGTGGTCAAACCTGTGTAAGGCTCCATATCCAGGATACGTGGAAATTCAAAGTAATCATTAAACTTAATCGCACAGACGCGCTCATAGTCGTATTCAAAGCGTTTCAGTTGTATGGCTAACACGGGCGGCAGCTTCTTGACACATAGCCGCTTTATGGTAACTACCTAGAATTGGCCAAAGGACACATTTAAGGTGCTAACTTTTTTAACAGTAGCCAGTTAACTTACTTTTTTATCACATTTATCACAATGGTATGCATCAGCTCCCTCGAGCAGCTCTCCTTTGACATACTGCTCCAGAGATTCCGTTAATGAGCTATGATTCCTAATATCGACACTAAATACGCTAAATGGTTCCTCTTTGGAGTAACGATGTGGGCACTCCTGACATATCTTTTGATCGCTAAACGAGCCGCCCAGCGTTGCGTTCATAAGTTGCGTATGACCGAGCGCCTTAAGACCTTCGTCCAGGCTTTCAAAGAGTGACATAAAGAACTCCACTGCGTCCTGTTGCTCGCGCAAATTCACAGGCTCACCTTGCAATCTGCAATGTGCGAATAATGAGTTTTTTGGCGCAGTTCTTACCTCTCAGTTGATACTCACTTAAAATGCGTCCAGAGACCACGCGGAACATAGAACTGCAAAGCGCTATGCCCAAGATGCGCAAATATCGCCTGAACATGCTTCAGTATGACCACATGGTAGTTCTTACGCAAGTCGCCGCCTTCCTCATTAATGCTTCCAGACGAGGATGTGGCTCCCGCTGCTGCTGAGGAAAAGAAAGCCGAAGTAAGCGCGCCGCCCGTTAAGTCCGAGTCGCCGCTAAAGTCTTCGTTTTCGTTGACTGCCGCGCCGTGCGCTTTAAGAATGCCAACACGTACGGCAGGCACCATGTAGAGCTGCTGCAGAACCGAGTTCATATAACATGTAGCACCCGCGTTCTTGAGTCCACAGAAACCTTTGGCTGGCCTGGCACCCACCGGTGGCAGATAATCCCATTCGCGCAACGGATCAGTGTCTGTGTGAGCACAACAAATAAAATATTGAATTTGACATATTTTATTTTTAAAGTCTGCTTTTTAAAAATATGAGATAATATATTAAACAGTTTAGACTTGACTTACCCGTGCATACGAAATCGATTAGTGTATTGGTGAGTAGCTTCATATTAGGAACACAATGCTGGCACAAAGCTATAAGAAGATCGCAAGCAGCGGCGATCGTGTGGGGGCTGCGGCAGACTGGTGGGGGAACCGTATCCTGTCGCAAACTTCCCTGTTTACGTAAATGCAGATACTCTCGCGACGCCGTAAACAGAAAATCGTCGATCAATTCGTGTATCAGTTCGTTCAACTGCGCCTTTGCATCGGGCACAAGGAAGAACATCAGCTCCTTGGCCAGACACAGGTGACCCTCGAGCAGTTCCTCGTGCACTTGCGTGTCACCGGTCAACTTCACACTTTCACGAATTTTTTGCAGCCATTTTATCTCGTCGGCTAACAAGCCTTCACCGATCTGCAGGGGCCAATTGTAGATACATCCATACGAGAGCGTGCGGCAGAGCACAGAGAAAAACTCTGCACACGTCGACTCGTATTGCGGCACTAAAGTTTTCAGCACGCTCACCAGTAGATTGACCATGTACATGAATGGGCGCCTGTCTCCAGCGCAGTAGGTGGAGGCTAAAAACAGCTGCTCAGACGCAACCTGGCGCACGTGTCTCAGCGGATTCTTTAATACAATGGACGTGATGAACTTGGGCCAATTCGCATCGTTGCTTAAAGCTTCGTTAGCATTTGGATTAAGGATGAATGCAACCGTCAGAACTTCTAATGCCTCCTTGCACATGGAAAAGTCTTGTCCATCGGGTACGATCACATCGTCCTCAAACTCATTGCTACTCCCCAGAGCCTGCAGATTACCACAGGACGAGGCCCAGGCCAGTTGTACAACTGCTTTAATCGTGCTGATGTCGGGACAAGCCCACTGCAACGTTGTGTTGAACAACGCACGACACCGTTCCCCTTCATGGCTCGCCGAAAGCATCTCCGTGGCCAGTATTTCGGCTAACTTCGCTGAGATTGCACGCAACGTTCCGTGCGAGTTGTTCGGTAAAGTTGGGAAATTCTGCTTGAGTATATCAACTTGAGAGCGCGCCCCATTGTCATAATCGCAAATAAGCGGCTCATCACCGACCCGCGTTAGCACACAGCCCACAATGTAGAGAAACAGCTTGGCCAGACGCAAAACGACCTGGAAGGACGCACGTTTTGTATGCATATCGGCACTGGGCAGAAAGTTGTTCTTTGTCAGAAGCTCAAGCACAAAGTGTGCGCAGCCGGAGTGCATCCAGGCTGACTGTATTTGTAGCGCGGACTCTCCAAGCGGATCCAGTGCAGGTATTAACAGGCCATGCAGCACACTCAGGTTATAAAGCACCTGAGCAGGCGCAGGATGCAGGAACATCTGCTCTGGTGTACAGTCCTCAGGACTTAACTGCAATGAAATAATAAATAAATAATGAAATAATAAAGTCACCCAGTATATTAACAAAGTGCTTTGGTGAGCATAGATGTGAAAATAAACCTACCATTTCGCTGGCTGGTGGTGAAGTGCTTTGCCCGCTACTTCCGCTTACATTAAGTGCATCCTCCTCTTTAACAATGTCCTTCTGCTCCGCCGTTGGCACACGGCACATTAGCTGCAGCATCCGCATGGTCTGGCGATCGCAGGGCAGCAAGTGAAGCAGCACCTTGGCACTATCGCGCAAACGGCCGTGTTCTAAATCACTACCCAGCTGATAAAGCTTAAGGAAGAACTCCGTATAGTGATAGTTCTGTGATATTATCACACCAGGCAGCGTGCTCTCCGACTCGACTCGCTGCATATCCGGACAAGGCCGGGGTGGAGATCCTGTGCTTGAATCGCTGGAGGAATCGGGGCTACTAGCCAAACCCGTCCCCACTGGAGTCAACTTGGCCGTTAGTATCATCTTATCGCGTATGGTATACTGATACAGCGGACTGATCTCATCGGACACTTCGATAAGCTCGCCATTGGTATAACACAGATCCACCTTAATGTTGGTCGCGGACGAGCCCTTGATGCGTTTTAGTAGGTTGCGCTTGAATGCAGCCATTGTCTCGTTGCTATGCGTAATAATCTCAATGTCGTCTATCGGTCTTCCTGGAGTTTGAAAACGAATGTAAAGGCTAGTGTTTTTACCGCGTGTTACACGACTAAGCGGCAAATACACCCGGTCCCCACTAAAGGACCGATCGCACTCTTTAATATACTCCTGCAGCACTTTCATGATGCGACACATCTTCTCTGCTTCTATGAAACGCATCTTGTTGTCCTTCGAGTCGTTGTCCGCCTGGTTAACGGTATCCTCTACCAGCGTTTTACCCAAAATCAGAATGTTGCTATAATGATTGCGTAGACGCGAGCAGCACTCGCCAATAAACATCTCATGAAAGTCTGCAATGTTTTCCTGTAGGCGCGGGCCGAGTGCCGTGGAAACCTCCTTCAGCAAATCGATAGCTTTTGTGGCTATTTCTTCACCACCTGTCGTAATCACACGCCACAGATAGTCCTTACCAATGAGATCTTCATTGTCCAGTATGTAACCACGATGTATAGCCTTGAGTTTATCCTCCTTGGAGTTGACAGCCTTAAAGAAACGCTCAAAGCATTTAATGCCGCTCTCCGTCAACAAATGCGGATCCAATTGCAATATGTTGTTTTCAAAAAAGTCCTTGTTAATTCCAGGATCTAGATCCGGCTCCTCGCCCATTAGTTTACCGAACCAGCGGAAACATTCTTCTCGATCTGCGGCGAAGACTGCGTTTACAGCCAGACAATGCCAGATCTGCTTTGCCTGCAAAAAAAAACCATTCGGTTACAGTAGTACAAGAAACATCGGGCAGCATTACTATTCCAAGATAAGCTATTTTTATACCCTGTACCCAAAGGGTATACCGCTCGGTTGAGCGGTGAAGCCTGATCATAATAAAACTTGGGATACGGATATATATTCACTAACTGGATGTGACTACCAAATGTAAGCTTAAAATTCCAAGAATAACAGGAGTTATAGAAAATCGCGAATAGCGGGGAAGTGGGGGTGCATCGGGAAAAATGAAGAAACTTGCACTTTCGCAGGCGTAGGAGAATGTGGATACCAAGCTTGGTTATTCTAGCTCTTATATTTTCTGAGATCCTTGCATTCATACAGACAGACAGACGGACATGGCTATATCGACTCGGCTTGTCATCCTGGTGAAGAATATATATACTTTGTTGGGTCTGCTACGCCTCCTTCTGTGTGTTACATGTACGCTCGCACAAAACTAATATACCCATTTACCCTTTGGCTACAGGGTATAAAAAATATGCAAATAACGTTTGCAAGAACTTTGAGTTATGAAAATGAACATCGTTTCGGAATCCAGGAAACAATTATTTAAAGATGCAGACAGTACACCTACAATTTTTTCACATAAATTGCCAACTCTTTCATTACCGTTCTTCTTACATAATTATTGCCTAAGTATGAGTTAAACATGAATAAGATTTCGAGGCTCACCTGATCTGCACAGAGCCAGAGCTGCCCGTCCTTGAGCAAGAACTTGAGAAACTCTAAGCGTTCAGCGATCTGGGCATGATGCGGAAATCTGCCGTCAATCAATATGCTGCTGCCCTCCAAACTTGGCGTTTCGTTAACCAGGGCGCGCACCTTCTCCATGTAAGAAGTGAGGCTATTTGTGACCAGTATGACCAGCGAGTAGTCGTTTTGCAGTCGCTCAATGACCTGCTGCCGATTGGTGCCTGTTTGTGTACGTGGTGTATGACTGGGAGTCGTGTCATAGAGACAGCATATATCACGGATCAACCGCAGAGCAGGCAGTACCCACGTATCCCCGCTTTTCAGCTCGCCCACACATTTGTCTAACCAGATTATCTTTTGCGCATCACGCTCTTGTGAGCAGCTGTAGTCCAGGATCTTAACATGGGCCCCCAATGCCTGGTCGAGCACCTCCGGAGGTACTTCCTGGCTGTGGGCCAACGTCCAGAAGAGCTTGAGCACCTTCTGAGCCATCACGCCGTTTTTATCGTCCTCGGCTAGGCGACGTATTAGTTCGAGCAGGCGTTCTCTTTGCCGTTTGTTGGCTGTCGTCATGCTCGCCTGTAGCGTAAAATAGTAACACATGGCATTAGAAAATCGAATAAAAGCTTAGCTTAAACTAACCTGAAACGCTTCGAAGAGATGATCCAACTGCTCTGGCGTAAAGTCCCAGGCCAACTTGGCTAGTAAATCATGCACGTTCTTAACAATAGCCTCATGCTTGCCGGCCTGAGCCCTCCAAACGGCATCAAGATCGTCCAACGTCAGTGCCTGCTCTTTGATCAGAAAGCGTATGATCTTTTCTAACTTCTCAACGTACTGCGGCTGATGCAGCGAGTCCTTTAGCACAATGCCAAGCACATCCGATGATTTTATCCACTGAGCCATTCGTTCCGCAGTCAGCCAATCCATCTCGTCATCGGGCAGGCAATGCGGCAATGGCTGGGATCGATGGGAGTAGTAGGCCACCGACGAGAGCACTTTATTTATCTCGTTCAGTGCGTTCATTTTGCCATTAAAGCTGGACACCTGTAACAGGCGCAAAATCATCTTAAGGCGAAACATTTCCAAATCTCGAATCAACTCCTCCTGACCCGACAAACGGCTGGCCAGGAAACGTGCCGATTTCACAATGCCATTGATATAATCGTTGCGTCCCTCAGGCTTTACCTCACGTTTCAGCTCATCATCGCTAAAGCTGTCTAATAAATCCAGCATCACATTCCAAGTAGGCATAAAATACTTAGTTATAGTCGCGGGTGTCAGGAGCTCATAGCACTGGCCGAATGGCCGCAGCAGACTGTGTATTAGTGCTAGGGTGAGGCGATTGTCTTGTCCCGACACACTTTCGTTCGTGCAAACACTGCTCTTAGAGCCAGAACTGAGCGAACCTGCCGATAGCGTCAGTTCACTTGCTGCCACAGTCGCCTTGTTTTGATTACGCTTCAGAAGCTCCAGACCACTGTTAAAACGCTCCAATAGATTGTCAAAGCCTCCAAGTTGACCAAAACGATTTATGAGATCAACCAGCCAACCGCGAGGATTCTTAGGCTCAGGCGGCGGTTTTGCAAACATCTTATTGCTATCCAGCACACCCCAAATGCACTCGGGCAGCGCAAAGCATTCCGGCTGACGTGCTGCGTTAAACGCATTGAACTTATTATCCGGATCGAACACAATGGCCAATAGATCGAGCAGATACGGGTTGTCGCGCTGCATATGTATGGCAATTAAATGCAACAGTTTGCCGCAGGATACAAGAATGCAATGATGTATGTTGTACTTCCACGAGTTCACAGCCTCGTCGGTGAGTATTTTTGCAAAGGATGTAGTCAATCCATTGCGATAGAACTCCACGCAAGGTTCGCAGTCGTGGTCGACACCTGTTGAGTTGAAAGTTAATGATACGCCGTAAAATTAGTGCATATTTTGATCTACTCACCGGCCTTAGTTAAATCTATAGCGGCATTCAGCAGTACTTCTAGCTCCTGCTCTGGCAGCACAGGCACAACCCATCGCGGATTTGAAATCTTTTGTGTCAGCGAACGTAACTTTGCGGTTGGAAATGAGGATATCAATTTTTCCGGCGAACTGTGTAGTAAAGTAGTAAAATTGATTTAGATGAGCGATATTTGTTCATTATTATACTATGTATGTATTTAAATTTTCCCGCATACATGCATATGCATGTATTGCAGATGTTCTGGTATTATCATTTTTTAAAATTTCATCCGCCTTGGTCAGGAAAATATTTGTATTTATTGCCAACCAATGACAATAATTATTTATAATATTTGAATTATTTTTTTAATCGTCCCCAAATGAAATACCATCCATTTAAAATCTATTCCCAACACCCTCAACAGTACTATTTTATATACTTGTATGTATATCTGTATATGTATGTATGTAGGTACATCTATGTGTGTATTGCAATCAGCTGACCCAAAGCTGTGCACATTAAACGAATAGCCATTTCATTTCTCTTTAACACATACATACATATATGAGTATTAGTTTATTGTTTAATTAACTACAGCTGATATATTTCTCTATTTAGTGGATTCGTGCTCAATAGGATCTTCCACCTTCTTAACAACAGTCGGCAAACTGAAGAAAAAAGCAGATAGAAAAAAAACTGCGCAAAAGTAAACAGAAATACATACACACATACATATGTGCAAAAAACGATACAAAAAGCAACCCATTTGCAACGCATAAAGGTGGAAGCGAGGAGCAAGTCACCGAGAATTAGGCGTTTTACACACCCTACATATGTACATATGTATCTATGTATTAATGTGCTTGTCATATAAAGTTAACGGACTGACGATCTAAGCCCCTGCTTTGTACTATAAGTATGTGTGTACATACATACAATATGTATATTAGCTTGCAAGTTTGTATAACAAACGAAATTAGCCGCAATCATGCAGAGCCACTATGCCCCATACTCTGTGTAGCAACAACCCCCTTATAATAGCGAAACTTACACTATTGTGACATTGCTCTCCACCGATGGCATCGTCGAGGACGTCGAGGACGCCGTGGACGTTTCTGTGCTTTGGGCAGCCGGGGTCTGCTCCTGACTGCTAACACCGCCAACATTGTTCGCGTTGCTATTCCCAGAGTCGCCACCTAAATTGCTTCCACCGCCACCGCCGCTGTTGGACACAAGCGATGTCGTTGTGCTAGTGGTGCCTGTATTGCTGCTGTTCGTCGTCTGGCTACCACCATGCCTGCGTGTATCGAACGTCATAATTTCGCTTTGCAGCTCCACCTGCGACGTCACTGTCACCAATTTTAGTGCAAATGCAGAATGGGTTGCTGTTGCGTCTCCGTAGAGTTTGTGATTTAATTTTGGAACAGCAGTTTTTTGCTGGGCGGCTTGGGGCGATTTCGCTGTTATTGTATGTGTTGAGTAGGCACTGTTGGTGTGCTGTTGTGCCGTATCGGCAACTTGGTGAGGCTTTGAAAGTGGCCGTTGCCGCTGCCTTCTTAGGTGTTATGGTCCCAAGAATTGTTCTTGGTATTGTTGCTGTTCTCGCTACTGCTGCTGCTGCTGTTCGCGGCGTTTTGCGTTTAGTTTACATATTCCTTCTCAGCGGTCACAACTGCAAAAATCTATAAACTGCAACGAAGAAAAAGAAAGAGGAAATAAAAATGAGAGGCATAAGAGAGACCGAAAAACACACACTCGCGCAGGCACGCAAGTAAATATGTATATATGTATGTACATACACACGCAAAGAAATAGAGCGAAGGCAAAAAGAGTGGCATGAGTGTTGGTTCGTTGGTTGGAATATGAAAAATCAATATTATTTAATAGACGAAGAGGAGCAGCGTGTGCGAGCAATAAATGTTCCAACGCACATGAATTCTCAACGTTCAATGCATACATACTACCCATATATGTATGTATGTACATACGTACATATGTAAGTTAAATATGTGTATGTACATATGTATGCATGTACATACACATACATATGTATATATATGACGGCAGTGTGAATTGAATTGAATGTTGTTTTTGTTTTGTGCTCTTCATTCTCATTTATTTATTATATTTCGTTTTATTTGGGAAACAAAGAACAGTTTTGCGGTATCCCAAAATTACATCACGTCGCTCCCACAACCCCCTCCTAAGTGGTTACCGCAATTTATGTCGGGATCCGCTCGCATATAAACAACAACAAGGGAAATTGTTGTCACAAATCAAGCGGCCACTCCAACTTCAATAAGGGCAAGTCTGTTACCCTGCCACAAGCACCCTCGCTTCAATATAAGCTGCACAACCAGCGCACAAAAAAAAAAAAAAACACCCGCACAAGTGCAGCGACAGCAGCTGTAGGGCAGTGGCAGGGACGGAGTTGGAATGTAATCAGAATGACGATGATGACAATGGGTGGTGAATTTTGCGTACGAAAACTAATTTTCAGGTCGCCAATTGATAACTGGTCCTAGCAGAAATATATGGTTGCAGCCCAATGCCGCTCAAAGGCCATAGAAGTTTGGCTTTTTGCTGGTCAATTTCTCACAGCAGCATATACAATGCCACAGCCGTCGTCGCTGTATTTGCGAATTTCGCGTAGTCGTTTTGCACAACTCACCATTTTTGCGATCCGCCCTAAAAAAAACCTTTTCGTTTTCTTCGCGATGCCTTTAAAGCTGGCGGGCTGTTCGCAGTTTTGGATGCAGTCACACGATATTGACGTAATAATGGCGAATTATAATTTAATAACTGTAGCACTAACTATTTGAAACTAATTATTTTTGTCTCCTAAGCTTAAAAATCAGCCGGCCCGATAGACAAAATGGCGTCTCGCTAAGTGGTGGTAGTGGTGAATAAGACTTGTTTTTGTTGTTTATATTTTGCAGTTACTTTACAATCAATTAAAATTAGTTTAACTTAATTAATAATTTGATTATATTCATATTTTTAATAATTTTCACAAACATGTACGATTTTAATAGCGAGCTGTATTTGTAATTCAAAAAAACTAGTTCAGTTCTTTGGCGAGATGCTAACTCGAATGAAAATTGCAAGTTCGCAATTTCCGATAGCAGGACTGACAACTTATTGGCAAAATTGCATCCAAATTCACTGCTCATGGAAATAAACAAAAGGCTTTCCTAAAGATAAAATGTATGATTTTCTTGACCGATGTCCGGGCATGTATTGCGGCCGCACGCAGCTCGAAAATGGCACCTGGAGTGCTTGTGGGAGTTGCCCTCGAGGATCACGGGTGAGCTGAGCTCTAGATTTGTTTTGTTATTATTTCACCTTGCACAACAACAATCAACATTTTTTGCTGTTTAGGTAAATGACAGTTACGCGTGTAACACCTGTCGGGAGGACCTGACGACCTACTCCTGGCTATACCTGGGCTTCATGACCATGTTGCCTCTTATGATGCACTGCTTCTTTATTGATCTAGATGCAAAGGATCGAAAGTGGGTGATCAATTCAGTGTTTTTATATACACACATATGTACATATATTCATGAACGAAAGTTTTTTAGGTTTTCACGAAAACAATTAATCCTCACGACCAGCGCCTTTATTGAAGTCGCATTGGCTGCCCTTCTGGCTACGCTTTTCATGGAGCCAATTTGGGAATTGCGCCTTTTTGCATGCGAAGTGGAAAAACTCACCGACTGGTATACCCTCTTTTACAACCCGAATCCAAATTACGAGGCGCGAGTACACTGCACCCAGGAGGCGGTTTATCCGTTGCAAACAATCGTGCTGGTGTTTTACTTTTTGTGTCTAGTGAATATGTTTCTTATTCGACCAGTCGTCAGCATCTCGCTGGATGTGCGCGGCAAGGCTCCGATATATTCAGCACTGTATTTTTTGCCATTGCTAACACTTGTACATGCATTGGGATGTGGTCTGATTTATTATTCGTTCCCGTATCTAAGCATCGCCATATCCATGGTAGCCAATGCCATACACTATTCCCTTAAACTGGACCAGACGCTAAAGGCGCTCGTCCGATCTACGGTGTGGGAAGTAAAGAACATTGTCATTATTACTGTTCATTGGCTACTTCTGGCCTTCGGCATCGCCTCTTTGGACTACCATTACGCTTTCATGGCCGTGGTGCCCTTGCCAACGTTGTTCTACATCCTGACCGTTCGCTTTACGGATCCTGCCGAGTTTCGTGAGATGGAGTCGCGTATTTGATGCAGCCAGCGAGAAGTTAATTATGAAACGCCCGGTGCACGACCGGCTATCGTTTTCTATGTGTAATAAGTTTTCGTATTGTTTAAATTATTGCCCACTAGTGTAAGAATTCTCACCTTGTGATTGGAGTGATTGAAGAGAGAACGCAAGTTCTTTTCGTTTTAATTATATTTCACATTAATTATACACATATAATAATATTAAATACAAATCTTCAGTTTCCCGTCTCTTAATTAGTTTTATACACACAATATGCATTTATTCGTACATATTGATTTTGCACACCTCGTTCGTGATCAGATCCTTCGTTTTACACGTATTTCATATATGTTTGCTTCCTAAAAATTATAGCATTCTTATGGATATTGTAATTTCCTATTTTAGCGCAACATATGAAAAAACAACAAAAGTCAAAAGTTTTGTGAAGGGAAAAGGTCAAAGGGTAGAGTAAAAAAGAATATTCATCCATGGACCACACAACTAGTAGTCGATTAGTGTATGTGTATATACGTCTTGGAGGGCCTAGGTGGGCATAGAGGCTCTACTGCTTAACATCAAACCCCAGAACGTAGTTATTCCGAAGCTGCCCTTTCAGCGCTATCAGGCGACTTATTGCGCTCTTCAAGAAATTTCAAACGTCGCTTCCGCAGCTCACTTAATTCTGAGCTGTCCTCGTTCTCTGCATCAGCGGTCGCCGCAATTGTGTCTGTGGCAGCCACTGTGGGCACATCATCTTCATCTGCACCCAGATCTTCGATAGTAATTTTATCTGTCACACTTGTGGATGTCACAGTGGCTGCTATTGTTGGTGCAACCGATTTAATTTGATGTGCTTCTTGTGTTTTAGCTGCAAAGGCAGCCGCAGCCGCTGCTGCTGCAGTCGAGGTGCTAGGTTTGTCATAAACTGCTGAGCTTACTGGTGATGTTGTTGAAGCTAATGTTGTGGTTGATGCGACATCAGCTAAAGATGTTGCACTGGTCGTTGTTTCTGTCGCCGAAGTGCTTACTGTGGTGGGTGGTAGGCGCGCCACCAGCCCCTGGTACTGGTTCATCAATATACCAGCCGAGTCCAGCATCAGAGTTATATTGCGCAACAACTTAAATCATAGAAATTACATTGAGAATGATGCTGATAATTATGCTGATTCTAGTATTACCTGTAACCTTTCTTCTATATGCTTGCGCTGATTCCCCTCCATAGCTCGCAGCTCCTCATCCGTAAATTTTGTCAGATCTAAGGGCATGGGCGGCGGGGGAACCGGAACTGGCGTAAAGTAAGCAAACGGAGGTGGAACCATAAACGGCGCTAGCATGGGCATTAGCGGCGGTGGCGGTATGCCACCCAAGTTGGGAAAACCATCTAAAGCGAAGGAGAGGTATTAAGTTGTTAAAAAAAAGATGCATATATAATAGTAAACAACTAACTTGCATCGCCAAAAAGTTCTGCAAAGCTGGGTGGTGGTGCATTTGCCCCTGTAGGGGTGCCATTGGCACGCCCGAGTCCAACATCGGGCGCGGCGATTGCCGGAGATGCATTCGCTCCTGTTGCATTGGCAGGTCCTGGTTGACCAGCGGCTGGAGCAGCGCCGACAGCAGCTGCAGGTTCGTCGGCTGCTCCTGGAGCACGGGGCAAGGCCGTCGAGTTGACAGCTGGCGCCCGTAAGATGTTTAAGCGACATGTGGGGCAAGTCTGCTGCCGTTGGAACCATGAGCGTAGACAAGTAGTATGGAAAATGTGACCGCACGGAAGCTTTTTTGAATGATTAACCATGTCCTCGCGGCAAATTATGCATATGTTGTCCGATTGACGTAATTCTTCGGGTGTGGCATCCGGATAGAGCGTATTCATGTTACGTATAGCTCGACGCGACATTATAACATCATTTAGCGCCTTGCGGAAGTTGCGTATGGTAAAGAACATGGGACGGAACACGAACATGGGTAGGGCGTAGATCTTCGCCATAATGACGACAAACAGTAGATAGAGCACTACCTTGATCAGACCGATTACCAGCTCAGTATACAGCAAAAATACAGCCTTATTCTCCCATGGCGTGTCCGTGCGCATCTCGGCTGCGTGTAGCACGTACTTAATCGCTGTACTGGCAATAACGGTCAACAAGATGGCATACTCAAACCCAAAAACTAGCTGCACCGTCGGGCCGCGCAACAGTGTTGAATTGTAGGCATGCATGAGAAGCACATAATCAAGTATGCCAAGCATGCTTAGTAAGCTGGCGACGCGTATATGGAAAAGCCACCCAAGCACCGGGGAACGCTCCATCTGCAAAGCAATTTAGCTTGATCTGATATCTTGGGCACACAGGCCAATGTCTAAGTCACACTTACAAAATCAACGCGTTCCTCTGCCAACCAATGGAATGATTTAAGAAATAGAAGTACGGTGAACAGTGCCACAAAACGTGGATTGAAATCATCTCGGAATACTGTAAAGGCCAGACACGTTTCTGTGAGCGCATACCAGAAACGTTCTAGTAGATGCTCGAACTCAGCCGCGCGTAGAGTGCCTAGAAATATCTAAAATAGACAATGATGACAATGGATACGTATTGATTTAGTTTTGTAAACCCACCTTGCGCAACAGCTTCCCGAACATGAAGACAATGACGAAGAACTGTATATAAATCACCTGAGAATGGGGAAAATAGGATTTTTTTAGTGGCTAGCTAATACGCCTGCAGACCAATGTTACTCACCGCCATGGAAGCATTGGACTTGGTGATGTAGACAACCGCCGGATAGAACTGCTTCTTTTGGTAGTATGCATTACCAATGACGGCACTGGTCAACGCCATGCAGACACTTGATATAAGTAGCTGCATGTTGTCGCTGTTGGTTGCGAAGGCAGCCAACTGGCTGATTGATTCCAGAAAGATGTTAATTTTGACAGCTTGTTTTCAGCACGATTTGTCGTATTTTGCCAGCTACTTTTTCTTTTCCTCTTCTTTGAACCGAGAGGCTGAGGTTGGGTACGAAAATTTCGTTTCTCTTTTTCAACGCAGGAATTTTGCTGAATCTGAGTTAGCCGAATGAACTAATTTTCTTTGCCATTGAGATATTAAAAACTAAATTGATACCCTGTTACCCTAGAATACGTAGGTGGCACAGTTTGTTTTTTCAAGTTGAAATAATAATTACACGTAGTCGTAGTCGTAGCTCCCTACCATATTTAACATCGATATCGATAGACTTCAAGTTACGTAGTGACTAAATATTATAAGTAACAGGTACAATCACAGTCCAAAGCAATTGGGACTAGAGGTGGAATCTTATGTTAGGTTTTGGAATCTTATATACAGAGTACACACATATGTATGTATATGTATGTAAATATATAGAAAACACACTGAAACATGCTTTTATCTTTCAGATGCCGTAGAACATAAGGAGAGCCTGTATTTCCATATTGGCTGCAGGGTTCCAACAGAAAATTTACTGAATAACGAATATTTTAAGTTATTGTAACATTGTAAAAGCAACTTTTTGGATAGACAGTAGATATACGCAACTAAACATATTTGGGAAGTACCAAGATATCTACAAGCTACTTTTGCTCATACACGACTGAAGATTATTCCATCCCTAGTATATTTACGTATAAGTGTTACCATATTAACAAATACAGTGTTTGTATATTTTCAGTCAGCTGTAATGTACGCCAAAGCCGCACCTGCGGAGAGCACTCTTAATTATTCATTAGTTCACTCTTATATTGAACAAATGATTCAGAATTTTAATTTGAAGTTGATTCTTTCATTAAATATTCAAAAACCTGCACACTATATTATTTATTAATTTAAGGCTCCATATATAATTATTCATTAGTGCACTCTTATATTGTGCTGATTTTAATTTGAAGTAGTATTGGTGAAAAAAAATAGTCTATTGGATTCAGATCTCATTTTGAAATAGTGGGTCGGCGCTAACCTCTGCTAAAACTTTAATTTCATGTCGCCGAAGAATGTGAACCTGTTCCACCATGACAGAAAAACATCTGCACGCAGATGAGACCGACCAGATCATACTTGTAACAAAAAGAGGTTGATTAAAACTAGAGTAGATTCAAATTAGCGACCTTTGATTATATAAGACTGTTATAAAAGGTAATGAAGGGTATTATGGTAAAGTTTCGGGGTTCGAGCAAATATAACATGATGAATAAACATGAATTCTAAAAACGTGCGAAGCTTGCTTTTTATACCCGTAAAGGTTATATTAGGTTTGTGCAAATTATGTAACATGCAGAAGGAAGCATCTCCGACCCCATAAAGTATATACTATATATTCTGAATCAGCATGACGAGAGAAATCGATCTAGACATGTCCGTCCGTCTGTCCGTCCGTCTGGATGAACGCAAGGATCTCAGAAACTATAAAAGCTAGAATAACCAAAGTTGGCATCCAGATTCTCCTAGGTCCGAGTAAGGACGAGTTTATTTTATTTTTTTAATACTCTAATTCTCGCCAGTACAACCCCCCCAAACTGCAGCAACAAGTTCGCTCTTCTTCTTCCTCTTTTTGCTGCTGCTATGGGCGCATATAACTCAGTGACGGAAGTTTACCTGGGTACAGGGTATTACACTGTCGGGTTTGCTCGACTGTAGCGTTCTCTCTTGTTTTTTATCCTACATTAACACGATTTGACCCCCAGGGTACAACGTAAATACACATATGTACATACATATGCGCGTACATATGTATGTAAATGTATAAATTGAAAAAAAAAATTTAATTTAATTTCGACACATTTTGCATCTAAAAATAACCATTAATTTGATACGCATATCTAGCCATGGTTAAAGCCAAGAGCCATAACTGTTAGGTGAATTGAGCATAAAAGCGAATAAAACAATAAACAGCGCTTATCAGGGTGATTTATAAATATGTTGTCTTTAGTTCCAACACCCATGAATTATGAAAAATTATAGGCTTGCCCTAACGTTTTTAATAAGAAGAAGTATAACATACGAAGTAAAACAGACTTTCGACTTTAAAAAATGTAATGGGCTGGCAGGTACTACAACATACTTGTATGTACATACACATACATATGTGTACTTACAAGTATTTAACGCATTCATCGCTATGTACAAAATGCTCAGCTTATCTGGTGGTATTTGTTTGAAAACATCAATTTTTTACCCAAATTGTTTGCCATTTCCAATTATCATTTTCCAGTATATAATGCTGGCTTTTAAAAATGGGTAATCCACGCTATGTAGAGGCATTCGAGTGTCGACACTCTTCTTGCGAAAACGGACAGCAGCTGCAAATTGTTTTGCATAAGTGAAGTCGGGTAGCACCAAAGGCTAAAGTTGGCGAAGAACTCGATGATGGTTATTTTCTGCCGCTGTGGTCAGTGGATGTCGACGTCGTCATGGACATGGACACGTTTGGCCGGCGTTTGTTTTCTGCATTTTATTTTGCGGAAAACAAACTATAAGCGTTTTTTCTTTATTTTTTTGCGTGAGCGTCATCGACACCGGCTACAATCGGCGACATTTCGAATCTTCAGGCATTGGCATCCAACCCAGACATAACAGTTATATATGTGTGAATGTATGTTCATATGTACAGGTACATACATACATATATGTACGTATGTATATGAATACACATATGTAGTGGTAAAACCGCCTTGCACACATTTCAAATCGTGTCGCAGCAATTTCCCATGCAATTTCAACTTTTATATGCACGTTTTAGCTTTAGTTGTGTATATTTTTTATATACCCTTCACTGAAAAGTGTAAAGGTTTTTGGTGTGTTAGTTCCATCCAATAAGGAAGATTGCTAGACTAAATTCCCATTTTTAGACCCATTATTTAGTGGTATTTTCTTTTAAGAACTTTTTTAGGCTTACATACATGAATATATAGTAAAAGAATCTGCATAAAACTGCATAAATATACATATGTTTACTTCGTGCATATATACAATGGGTATAAAGTATATACATCTACATGCATACATACATCTACATACATACATATGTTTGTATGTACATACAAGTATATCCGAGCTCGATAGGGCCAATGAAAGATTCGACATTTCGGATATATTGAAGGGTATATACATACACTGCCATGCACTTGAATAGGGACAAGATTTTCTAGCATTTGTATTGTGTTTTTCTCTTTTTGGCAAAGGGCTGCCTTCAAATGCTTTGGTGTTTCACTTAGAATGCAGCATCAGGGAACTGTACAAATTTACAGTTAGCTTTTAATAATTAACCGTTATGGACTATCACTGTTTTGCTTTTGACTATGCTAAAAACACACAGTTTTTGCCATGCACTTGAATAGGGACAAAGAAGATAACTTTAGTGTGTGTGCAACTATGAACACAGAAGGTTGTATTTTATTAAAATACATATATTTTGATTAAAAACAAACCAAAATGGGCCGTGGTCAAACACTCACTTCTGAAGAAACGGGCAAAATATTAGCATTTAGGGAGTGTGACATGAATATACGACAAATTGCCGAAAAAATTAACAAAAGCAAGTCTGTTGTTGGAAATTTTCTCAAAAACCCATTGATGTACGGGAAAAATATGAAAGGACGCACAAAAAAGGCACTTACATCTTCAGACGAACGACGCGTTCTTCGGGAAGCGTCAAACTCACATTGCTCCGCATCTGCGATTCGCCTAAACTTGGGAATAAATGCAAGTGTTGATACAGTGAGACGTGTTATACGGAAAGCAAAACACCTTAAAAGATTAAGACTAAAAAAAAAACCACCTCTGACAAAGCCACGTAAAGACATGCGTCAGCTCTTTGCCCGAAATCATATGACATGGAATAAGGAGTGGCATCGAGTGGTTTTTTCTGATGAAAAACGATTCAATTTAGATGGACCTGATGGTTTCAACTTCTATTTCCATGATATACGTAAGGAGGAACAGTACCTGGCTCGTCACCATAGCCGTGAAGGGGGTATTATGGTATGGGGCGCAATTTCAAATTACGGGACAAGCGAGCTCAAATTTGTATCATCAAAGTTAAACGCTACTTCATACAAAAGCTTGCTTGAGGAGGCATTTCCTTACTTTGGCAACATTTTTGAGCCTATATCTTGGACTTTCCAGCATGATAATGCCCCGGTTCATACCGCACGTGTAGTCAAAAACTGGATAACCAAGCAGAACGTGTACTTATTGGAGTGGCCCCCTTACTCTCCTGATCTCAATGTAATTGAGAATGTATGGGGATGGCTTACACGTAAAGTGTACGCGTCTGGAAGACAGTTTGCAGACGTCCAATCATTAACAGAAGCCATAGAAAGCGCCTGGAGCGAAATTTCATTAGACTATATAAAGTCCTTATATGATTCCCTTCCTCATCGAATCTACGAGGGTCTTTCCAATAAAGGCGGTTACACACATTATTAATAAAGCTAATATTAATATAATAAAAACAAGAAAGGAATGCTAAAGTCGAGCAGGCTCAACTCTTAAATACCCTGTACCACCCCACAAAAAAGTAATTAAATTAATTAATTAATTAACTAAATTAATTTAATTAATTAACTAAATTGATTTAATTAATTAACTAAATTAAATATAAAATATTCCATGCATACATTTACATTTACATCAGAATCGTGCCTTATGCGTGTTTGTGTACTTGTACATATGTATGTATGTGTGCATTGGGCCTGGTTATATGGCTATAACTTTCTTTCCGATCATTCTATCATAATGAGACTTGGTATACGGTTATATAATAACTAACCTAATGTGACTACCAAATTTGAGTTGAAAATTCCAAGAATTACTTGAGTTATAGAAAATCGGTAATAGGGGGGGAGTGGGGGGGTGGATCAGAAAAAATTAACAAACTCGTCCTTTCTCGGTCTCAGGAGAATCTGTATACCAAGTTTGGTTATTCTAGCTCTTATACTTTCGGAGATCCTTGCGTTCATACAGACAGACGGACAGACGGACAGACAGACGGACAGACAGACGGACAGGTACCCTTGTACCCTTTGGGTACAGGGTATAAAAACTGTAAGCTCATTATACCCTGTATCCAAAGGGTACAAGGGTATATTAGTTTTGTGCGAGTGCACATGGAACACACAGAAGGAGGCTTGGTAGACCCCACAAAGTATATATATTCTTGA